AGTTTTCTAGTTTTGTATCGCCTTTCTAGTGGGTTACATACGCAACCCAAGACTCGAAAACTAGAACCGAGGGGTCTTCATTATATTAGTTAACTATATTTCAAAGATATTTCTATTTGACATTCTGCAGAATAGAAGAAAAAACAATTTGCATAAGATAATTTGTAAGAAAGGCTCATGATAGAAAGAACTGTAGAATTGTTAGACTTGCTATTAAGCAAGTCTAAGGACAGTCATACTTTATCAACAAATGTACATATTTTTCATATTAAAATGTCAATACTTTAAGAAACATAAACAAAAGTATGATATTTTGTTCAGGTGATGATCCTGAACATGTGAAGACAAAGTTGAGGCATTGGGCACAAGCAGTGGCGTGTTCTGTGAGGCAATCTTCTTGAAAGGGATGATCGAATCATGAATTGTACAGTGAAAGGAGAACACACACATATACACCTATAGAGAGAGAGAGAGAGGACTTTTTTTTTTCTATGTAATTATCCATGAAAACGTATAATGAAAAGTTTCCTAAATGGATTGAGGAGAAAGGCTAGAGTGGTAACTAATTAAGAGGTCTAGTAGGTTTGTCCTTTTATGTTATTTTGGTAATTTTTTTTATTCTTTGGTTAATTTTGTTTTTTGCTTTCTGAAGCAATACCAGTAAACTTTATGATCCCACAATCTGTGTTACATTGTGCTAGATTAATTTCTGGTGTTAGTCTGTTTATGTGTTGTGTGCAGTAGAGAGAGGAAAAATTATAGAGAATTTATCGATAAAAGTAGTTTTTGTCTAGACATGGTAATAAAACTTATGCATCATATATATGTTTTGGTTTTTTGAAAACATTTCAATCAGTCGGACCACACACCAAAAAACCCAGTTGTTTGTCCGATTTAGTGTCTGGTCCGAATTTAAAAACATTGGCTGAAGGACTAAGGACTAATTTTTAAGACAATTACACTATGATGAACTTGAGAAAGAACACCAACAATATCAAAGACACACAGATAACTCCCCAACAGCTTAAGTTCTCAAATCTAGTTAAAGACACTTGACAGGTAAGATCCACTCCAGGAGATATTCTCAAATCTCCCAAAGCCCAATAGACATGTAGATGCATTATAAAGTAACCCCCATGATATTTTTATTTTACCTAGAAATTAGAGTTTAGAGCATAGGCTAACACACATATATGATGAGAAATAAATATAAGTACCTTATAGATCCAAATGCTCAACATAACTACTCGAAGCAAAGTTCTGGCCCAATTTGATGAGACGACTGAAAATGAACAATGCAGGAAGTGTTGATGTCCTGGAAAGAAAATCATTCAGAATCTAAAATGATCTACTTATTTCTACTCGAAACGAGGCCTCATAATCAATAGCTTCACAGGGAAGCTCAAAATTAAAACAACATAATACATCCACAATGGTGGTAAAAAGACGCAAGAGCAGAATTGCTCTGGGTCTATGATTCTAACATAAACTGCACCTGCGCTTGAATTTAAGTTGTTTCAAAGGCTAGTTTAACTCTGCATTTACAAGCTCGACCTTCTAGATATTTCATAACTTCCTTCAGATGAAAAAATAGAAAGTTTAAAAACTGAGATCGCAATATCCAACCATCTTTTGTTATTTATAATGGTCTCGATTACGATGGGAATCCCAGTGAACAGTAGCTTCTAAAACTTGAGGTGAGTATTTTTTATACTCACAAACTGAGGCATGTATGGCCGTAATGAACGAATTGATGTGAGCTGCTAGAACTTCATCTAATCAACAGCTTCTGTAAGTTGTGTCATCACATACAAAACCCTCATACAATCTTTCAGCAGTTCACCTGGGAACTAATCAAAACCACCACATTAAAGGAATCGAACACTGTCTAGGCAAATGTAATAACAACAAGAAGAAAAACCCACTTCCCGTGCACGAATATTCACACAAACACACACACACTGATACCTGCGGAGCTACTCCGGTGAAGTTACGGCTAAGAATGAATTCCGCCACTCGGCCTATTTCGTAATCGGCTTCCAAGTCCATGGCTAACAGCAACGAGATAGGAAGAGAAACTGCAGCAACCCTATTCATCCAAAAAATAATAATAATAATAATCAAAATTTTCCCATTACAAATTTGTTCCAATTAACACTTCAACTCGCATACGCAGATACTGGAAAAAACATAGTGAAATAATGGTTTTGCTACACCAACCGGAATTAAGGTGCAAGATAGAACGGCGTCGGGCCTCAGCCGTCTCTCCGGTTGATAGCGCAGTTTGTCTGTCGCTCAGAAATTATTTGTGGAGGTGAAGCTCGGCAAACAGTTCTTCAATTCTTTCTTTAGCGGACGATTTTTTTTTTCCAACGACAAACAAGATAAAATTACTCCACAATAAACGTCTTACAATACGAGGCCTAACTAGGCACCATGGTTCCCCTAACAAGCTCACACACATGTTTGGGAACCCCAGAATGATTTAAAACACTTACAAATCACCTTGGATAGCCATGTTGGCTAGAAAGTTACAATCTTTACAAATACTAACATTAAAACTAAAAGTACAAGAGTTAAAACTAGTCACCAAAAGATTGAATGCATATGACTGCTCTTCCCTCCTTCTCTGATTTGTTATGAAGTCTTGTGTCCACTCCACCATCTCCTTACAGTCAACATAGCAAATGATGTTCTTCCAGTCCTCCTTCTTTAGCGGACGATTAAAGGCAGGTGTTTTTAATTTACTTAAAAGAGAAAAGTGCATTTTTCGTCTTATAAGTTTACTCCTCTGAACAATTTAGTCCTCTTCGAATAGCCAATTTGAGTTTCGTTCTCGAACTTTAAAAAAAGGTTGCAAATTCGTCCCTGACTCCCCAAAAACCCGTTAATTGGCCGGAAACACGCACGTGATAGAAAGTAACGGCTCTTTAAGCCTACGTGGAGCCGGATTTCCCACGCTGGCGACCTTATTTACACGTGGAGGACAGAAAATAAACGAAAAACAAAATTTCCACGTGCCGAAACACTTGGAAAAGAACCGGGCATAAAATGAAACGGGTTTTCTGATTTTGAATCATTTCCATCCTCCTTCAACCCTATTTTCCCAAATCACAAGATCCCAAAATCTTCAAGATTCCTAATTTTGAAAATTGTTGATTTTGTTCTTCAAAATTGTCGATTTCGTTCAAGAACCCTAATTTTCCTTCACCTTCGAAAATTTCCTTCACCGAATTTCATTATAATGTACGGAATTTAGATCCTCATTTCATTTGAATTGTACGAACTTTACAAAATGAACCATTTTCACCTCGAATTTAGGTTTTTTCATAAAAAAAAATGAACATTCCATTGCACGAATTTTCCATAAACAAACAAAAAAAATATCACTGACCGTATGTGGGAGGTCCATTGTGCATACGAATCTTCTTCCGGATGAACACCTTCTCACGAATCATTTGAATTCTTGCTTCTCAATACTTGATTTCGAGATTTCAGTTTTTTTGGCTTTGGGGTTTGGGAACGATGGAGGGTTTTTTTTTTTTTCAGAGAGAATCTTGATTTGGGAACGCGATGAGATTGTGGGAAGAAGTGGGATGTCTGTTCAGTTTTCGTGCCTTTTCATTGTTTTTCCCTCCTAATCCACGTGTTTCGGCACGTGGAATTTTTTTTTTCGTTTATTTTCCGTCCTCCACGTGTAAATAAGGTCGCCAGTGTGGGTAACCCGGCTCCACGTAGGCTTAAAGAGCCTTTAATTTCTATCACGTGCGTGTTTCCGTCTAATTAACAGGTTTCCGGCGAGTCGGGGACGAATCTGCAACCTTTTTTTTTAAGTTAGAGGACGAAACTCAAATTGGCTATTCGAAGAGGACTAAATTGTTCAAAGGGGTAAACTTACAGGACGAAAAATACACTTTTCTCTTTACTTAAAATACTTTTAATTCCTGTAACGCTCCGTTTGGAGGAATTTGATATCTCTTAATTTCAAAACTAGTATGTGACCCGTGCAATGCACGAGTAAATAATATTAAATAATAATTATAAATTGACGATATAGGTAAATAATATGTATTCGTTTGGATTTTGAGTGACACTTTAATATTTTTTTAACTTTGAGGCTTTTAAAATGGTCAAATTCTAGAGGAATACTATGAAATCTAAAGTGTGAACGTGAGATTTAGAGTGAAATTTTGTATAATGTTTTTTTTTAATCTTAAAAAGACCTAACAAATCTTGATCTCAAATAAGTTAAATATTTAAGGATATATTAAGATTTTTTTAATTTTTAAATATCAAAGATGAACCACTTTGTTACCAAAAAATGTCGACGCAATTTTAAATGTACATCCTGTCCAAATATTAGTTTTATTCTAAAATAAAAATTGCACGTGGTTTTATCCAATTTACACACTTTTTTTTAAAGAAAAAATTATTCAATAAGATTGGAAGAATCATTTAAGAATTATACAACTATTTGTTTCCAAAATTTGTATCCAATTTGTACGGTTTTTAAGTTAATTTGTATTTAGAATTGTTTTCATAAATAATTGACACATTTTGTGCATAAGAATCTCCAAATTTGTTACCAAAAAATATATGATTTAAATTTTGGTGAAAAAATAAAATAAAATATGATACAAAAAAATGGGATTCAAATTTTGGCATAAGAAACTCTAAATTAGTTACCAAAAAAATAGAATTCAGATTTTGCTACTAAAGATTCACATGTATTTTTTTTTAACTTTCCATTAATAGTAAGTCAAACATTATATTTATTTGGTCAAACTTTCTATTAATGTATTTTTCCAACAACCTCTTATAATATACTAGCGCGTAGCCCGTGCGATGCACGGGATGGTATACTTTCCTGAAATGTTTAACGTGTGAAATATTAAAAATATTATAATTTATATATATGTAACAAAAATAAATGGATTGCAAAGAAGGGAAAAAAATATAAATTATTGAACACTTTCTTTGTGAAGTAAAATTTGTGAAGCTTTGATATATTTGATTATGAATAGAAAAGTATGAAATACTACCTGCGGACAGTTGAGATAGATGAGAAGAATTACTTAGAATATATAGAATAAATATTGAGATAATGATTTACCTTTTACCTAGTATATATAAAATTAATATTGACATGATGTGGGAAATTATGAGGAATTATGACATAAATTCGTTTAGAAGTTAGTAGAAAATATTAAAAAATTAGATTTATTTTTTATTTTTTAAATCCTTACAATAATTCATACGCTCCTTTTCATACGCTTAATTTATCAAGTTTTACACATACAAATCAAAATTAATGCAACTCGAAATATTATATAACAAATAAAATGAGATTTTTTATCTAACATTTAGTATATTGCCGGAAAATCTTTTATAAATCTTATTCTCTTTTTATGCACATAGATATTAAAGAATGAGTAAAAAAATTATCTAAATATGTTTAAAAGTATCTAATATTATATGTGTTAACAATGTTACAACCAAAGGACATTAAGAATACGTAGACTATTATATAACATATGTGAAAGTATTAAAATATTTTATATTATTATCGAAAAATGTGAAATTACCTCAATTTTGTCTAGACTATTTTATAAGAAAAATATAATTACTTAAAGTTAGCATACACACACATATATATATCCTTAAAGTTTGCTCAACTAACATGTTTAAAAGTATATACAATTTTATATATAAAAACACGTTTAAAGTTTACATATTTTACAAAAATTAGACTGCTCTCAGTTTATATAAAGTTTGTTGCTCTCATATTCGGATAACGTATTATGCATTTAATGAAAGCACCCTACGATACAAATTTATAAATATTAATTAAAATAATTTTTTAAATTATATAAAATTGAAATAACAAAGGTAAATATTACCTGTTCATCATGAAACAGTATATGGATTGCGTTACAGCTCTCCCGTTGGGTTTCAATAATGCGGGACGCAAAAAAAAAGTTTGTTTCTTTTGTTAATGGAATCAAGTGTACCCCTAAAAAATTATTCTCTGTATTTTTTTTTCTCTGAACTTGTGAATGATGAGTTGTAATGGTGGTAGTGAATATCATTTTATACAATTTTTTATTAACCAAAAGTGATAAGATAATTATGGATTGTATTTGGATAGATAGTAAGTCCCATGATTTTTGCAACAAACAATCAATTTCACGTATTTTTTATTAACCAAAAGTGATAAGATAGTTATGAATTGTATTTAGATAGATAGTAAGGCCCATGATTTTTGCAACGGACAATCAATTTCACATGCTTAATTCACGAAATATCACCATTATTAAGAAGAATATCCATTTGCTTAATTAACGCAAATTTCATGCTAAATTAACGAAATATCCACTGCCTTTTCACGATTTTTCTTCCGATTTTAAAGTAGAATACATAAATAGAAAGTCAAAAGTCAACTCAATTATTTTTAGGTTTCTAAAAAGGGATTTTTACATCAACTTTTTTAGATATATATAGATATAGATTTTTTAATACTCACTCTTATTCATAATAAGTGTTGTTTTGGGAAGTTGCACACTAATTAAGAATAATTTTTTTGTCAATAATAACCCTCATTAATGAAGATAGAGATGAATGTTTTAAAAAAAAAAGATGAAGATAATATGAAAAGACGTAGTGTATTTATTAACTAAATGAGGGTAATAATGGAAAAATATATATACAAAAGATCCAAAACGACATTTATTTTGGTTAATACTACCTCCTATTCTTTTTAAATGTCATTTTGGCTTTATCAACTATTAACCAAAATAAATGTCGTTTCGGATCTTTTGTACATATTTTTCCATTATTACCCTCATTTAGTTAATAAATACACTACGTCTTTTCATATTCTCTTCATCTTTTTTTTTTAAAACATCCATCTCTATCTTCATTAATTAGGGTTATTATTGAGAAAAAAATTATTCTTAATTAGTGTGCAACTTTCAAAACGACACTTATTATGAATAGGAGGGAGTAGTTGATAAAGCCAAAATGACATTTAAAAAAAATAGGAGTAGTATAATTTTTTTACTTGCACACTTCTTGAACGGATGTGTTGAAAACATTATAAATAAATTTTCTAGCTCGCACCGATGGTGTTGACTTGCGGTGGTGATGAACCTAAATGATCGTCGACGGCGTGGTCGTCAACAGTGGATTTCAAATGACTATAATTGAGGAGTCATTTCAAATCCTTTAAAATAATGACTAAAAGACATGTAGCATGAATTTGAAATCCTCCAACTTCCATTATCATCCCACACATGATTGAGCATTTGAACTTGTAAATTTGAAATTTATGGATTTCAAATCACTCAGTAAATCCCTCAAAACAAACGGATCCTAAAATTACAGGTAGATAATTATATTAATATTTGAACAAATTAAGGAGGTGTATTCATTCTAAATTTTCTAAACTTAAAAAAAAAAATGTTTTGAGATTTTAACTGGAGTAGATATTTTAAAACTTTTAAAAACTTTGAGATATTTGTTTGAAATTTATTCGTTTCAAATTTTATATGACGTGTTAATATTTTTAATTTTTTAAATTCAATATTATTTTTTGTTATTAAATTGAACTCATTAAAAATCTTTAGCATAGTATATTCATTTTGAATGTTTAAGAGTATACTAGTATGAGACCCGTATATTAAATATTTTTCATGATTATAAACATTATTGTACATTTAACTTTAAATTTTTAAAATTTGTGTATTTATCTAGATTAAAGAAAAGTATTTATTTAGATTAAGAAAAAGACTTAAAAATTATGATTTATCCATTTTATTTATTACATTGGTTTGTCTAGACTTTTTTAAAATTTATTAATATTTAAAAGATACAATGTTTCATATCAAATGCCACTTTCAAACATAAAAGTAAAATAATTTTCTAAAAATAAAAAGTGAAGAAAGAAGAACTGTTTGAGTAGAGAAACATACCAGTCCACTAAACCATAAGTCAACTTATATATTTCTTATTACTACATTCTTATGCAATATTTATAACTTTATATCTATCTCATTTAAAAAAAAACAAAAAACTATGCGTGCAAATGTATATTACACGACGTTTTCAAATGACATAATTTTTTAACCCAAGTCGGTGTGGAAGGTCGACCCAAAACCAAAAAAAGGTTTATGTAGGTCATTTGAATCGAACAACAACAAACATAGTTAAAACTGATCAATTAGATTTTCGGTCGACTTGGATAGATTAAACGAGTTTGACCAGACTATTATATATATTATTTGAGACACAATATTATTTATTTTAATTGTTTTGATATATATTATATGATAAAAAAACTAGTGGGCACTTGGCTGTGCACGCACAGCCGGACCGAGTTTAGTCTATAATTGTAAAATATTGATTGTTTTTTGTCAACCTTAAAAAATTATTACTAAAAATGCGTCCAACCTTAATACCTTATACATATATTTGCCCAATTGGAAGTGTAGACATATATACATTTGTCGGCATTTCTAAAAAGAGATTAAAACTACTTCATATGAATCCATCATAAAAGTAAGAGTACCACAACATGATAAAATATCCAACAATCACCATAAACGTCAAAAGAAAACGTTTATTTCACCATAATACCCTAGAAGTTGTGTTTAAAAGCAAGAGATTACCATTAACCTAACAATCTACCCAACATAGCAACATAAACTTGGATTAAATTTGAACCTTGAAAGCAATTCCTTCATGCGGTATGAGCGTGAACTCGCAGACTGGCCCTTCAACAATGTTATTTTCATTTATAAAGTCTTGACGTTTGTGACCTTGCATAATTTTCTTTCCCATGCCATAAATTATATCCATTTGGTAGTCAACAGGAAGAATAAATTTGAGAAATTCCTTTATGCTTAAATTCTTTGAGAAATTTGATTTCCCTACTGGTGAAAGAGAAACATAAAAGTATCAAATGAAAACATAATTATACAACATGGTACAACAATGAAAATGCCCACAAATATCCAATGGATTTTATTAGCAATTTTGTCAAAGAGTGCAAAATGCAAAAGGCCCAATTAAATCAGTTCGGAAATCCACAAAATTTCATTGGTTATACGTTAAGCAACGAAATCCCTCACCACACCCGGTCGCACATATCTGCCATCAGTAGTCGTCCACGATCGTAGTCCACGTGTCCTTGTTGGTCAAAGCAGCAATCATATACGTCTGCAAGCTGATGAGATCATTAAGGTCAATGTGAGAAATATGTTTCTCAACCAAAATCAAATGTATATTTATGTTGATATACCTTTCGTCCCTAAAGTCCTCAAGCTTCGTTCTAATAGTTGGTCCTCTAGTTGTCCTTTGAACAAGAGTCACAAAACTCTCCCCGTTGCTTGGTTGTTCGTAGCTCCACGTTATTGATTTTTATCAGTTTTGTCGTAAGTAGATAAAAAACAACTCATGTATGTGACAATAGAGGGAAAGAAAAAAGAACAAAAAAAAAAAAAAAAAAAAGATTAACCTGCAAAGAAGTAGAAAGAGGACAAAAAAGAAAGGCTCAAACCATAATTTATAAGTTAAAGATACTAACCTCAGGAGCCATCCAGAAAGGACTACCCTTAAAAGACAAGGGACAAGATTGCCCTGTTATATCCAAAACCATATCATCAATTCATCATGAATTATAAGAAATAAAAAAGGATATCAAATGCAGAGAACCAGTCAATATCCTTGACCCTAAAAGTGCATTAAAATAATTACTGGATAGTGTATGATGAATACCTGAGGTCCTCATGTATGTCGGAGATAAAGTAATCAATAGACTCACTTGTTCAGTACTATGGATCTGAAACGGTCAGTCACAAAGAAGCTGAGGTCCTCATGTATGTCGGAAATATAGTAATCAATAGCTGAGGTCCTAATATTGTTCAGTGCTATGGAGATTACACTTCCTGCCTAATATTGTTCAGTACTATGGAGATTGCACTTCCTGATAGCATTTGAAAGAACAATATGACCTTATACATCTTTACAAAGAATATGCCTCCCCACAAATCTAATGACTAAAGACTCATTTGTCCCAACTGCTTCGCATTTTCCTTGGACTTTGCATCACCAGAAAATAATTAACCTCCTTCATTGCACACATTTCACCAGTTTCATTGAAACCAACAACAATTAAAACCCATTCATCAGGAACTACTTAAACATATATAAACAAAAAGAAATAAATAAATAAATAAATCTATGATACTCATCCATTTAGACGGGATGCTCCCTTACCTATTAAAACCAACATAAACGTGTCCAAATGTGCCTCGACCAAGAAGCTTCCCCTTTTTCCAACGTGAGCCAGGGCTGGCAAGATTCTCAGCTCGTCCAGGACTTCGTGGTACAGAACAGCTGAACTCTGCTGATGAAAAGGTGAGGCGTTGGAAATGGTTATGGGAGGTAAGGGCAAACGGTGGCTTTGTTGTCTTGCATCCTCAAGACAGTTGCTCTGTGATTTGGAATACCCTCCTCCAGTTCTAGAATGAAGTGGTGTTACGGAACCACTGTGGATTCTGGAGGTAGGTTCAGCACTCGTCATTCCTCGAGAGGGGATTGGAGAAATTTCTGGGCTTCCTTGACTGGGCTGCCAGAATAATTGCCCGGACACATCGAATTGTGGCCGGACGTCTGACCTGCAGCCAAAAAATATTTTCTATTGGGATAAAAAAAAAAACGAATATAGTAGTGATGTATGGTATGCATATGTAGATTTAGATTCTCTTTTTTACATAATAAAGATATACATATAATAGATATATTTTTTGACTGAGTTCAAACTTTCTATTTTGCATGAAAATTCTGTACAGGTCTCTCTGTAGATATTTTAATGTTTCAGTGGGGATATTTGTCCTCTAGCTGGCCTGAGCCTGGATTGGAGCATTGACCAGAATTGAGGAAGGGAAAATCTGGATAGAGTGTCCAGCAGTAAAAATTACGCTCGAAATTTTCTCATAGCCAGAGGCCCTCGTCGAACTTCTATAGGGACTCGACATTGAGCTATCGGGAGCACGCCACGAGGCGCCATTTTGCAGAACCTTTAAACTCGCCATTAGACCATTAAAATGTCGTGGAGAAGAGATATTCTTGCTGGAGGAGAGGTCTACCTCGAGACTAAGGGCGCAACAGGCAAGTGATCCTTAGAAATTACTGCAATGATGAAATAGAACAAAACATGGAGGCCTTATTTAATTGTGTAGAGGTCAAATATCATATATAACTAAAACCAAAACATAAAATTATGGCTTAGTTACTGAAAAGAACACCAAAGGTTGGTTTGAAGTTTATATATCTTTCCAAATTACAAAAACCCCCATTAACATTTGGTTGCCTTCTGAAAATATGAGATTCTTTTCAGATGTCAACCCTTGAAACTGCTTAACTACAAACATAAGTTGTGATTGATGAACTTCATTCAATATATCATTTGCAGAGCATTTTATCATGTCAATATACAACTTCTATATTTTAAATTATTATACAAGATGCAGACCACATAATCCTCAGCTATAAAAACAAAAGATTCGAATAATGAGAGCAGTTGTCACCTGAACAAAAACTAATAAAAAGATGAGATTGTTCCCTGCATCTCTTATTCTATCAATCATGACGGGCTGCAACAATTCGTTTCGTTTAAGAAATCGCAATATAATGTTAGTAATACTAAAGGAAGATTCCATTCCAAATGCATTATTACAAACTTAGCAAATAGAAACCTAGAAATGCAGCTGATCAAGTCCTCCGTGATTAGAAGCCCATCTTTTTTCCTTTTTTCTGCTCAACTATGGCAGCTGCTACTTCATTGGTTGGACAAAGTGATAGAAAATTCTTTTACTACCACAAAGCTATTTTCCCCTTGCTACTAAAAAATATTATGTACGGAAACCATCAATTATAATTCCAGAATTTTAAACTTCCCAAAATGAGCAAAAATATGAACTATTATTATAATACAAAATGAGGAATCTTTTGCCCCAAATTCCCAAATATTAATATTCCCAGAATTTCCCCAGTTTCTTATCTAACTAAAGCTTAAACTAAGAACCATTAAGCTATGCATCATAAAAGCTATCAACAAATCATTAAGATGCTTAAAAATGAGGAAAAGGAGTGGTCAAAGTCACCTCATAAACTTCGAGCTACGAATCTACCACCACAACACGAAATACAAAGAAAACAATAATTTTTACATGAAAAATCAGAGGCGCAAATAATTACCAGGATTTCGACTTGGCTCGGACCTCATTGGTCGCCCATAGCTTCATCCGGTAGGGTGCTCGTCGGCCTCGGTCAGCAAAGCTCTTTCGATCACCTGGTACTGGTGAAACTGTAAACAACGTTTGTTCAGTCTGTAATTGTAGACTCTCGACGACGAAGATGAAGAGGTAGATCAGACCCTCTTCCAGAATTAGTTACAGTGAGAAGAAGCCATTTCTATTGATTTTATGGCACTAAAAGATTACCTGGCCAAGTGATTTTCTCGCGGGACGGCCTCTGGGTTTAGGGTGGACGGGTTGAATACTTCGCGATAGAGGGGTTGAATACTTCGCGATGGAGGCGTTCGGTGTGATCCGATCTGGATGACGTGCGGTGTTTGCGATGACTACAAAGGGCTGAGGTGGTGGTGGTGGTGGTGGTGGTGGTAGGGCAGATCTTGGGTTTGGCTGGGCTTAAAATTCAGGAGATAAAAATAAAATGGCAGCTCTTACAGGGTTGAAATTGGAGAGGACATCAGGGTTGCGTGTTTGGTTTGGGTTTGGATTTAACAATACCACACTGACAATTTGACCATAACACACCGCAAATCCCGGAAGGTGATCAACCACGCAAGCGCAAATGTCTATTCGCAGGTACGAAGAGCAGATTTTCGGGAGCAAAATCCTTGAATACGGCGTGGTCTTTTCTTGGTAAGAGAAATTAGTAAATTGCAGTGGCAACAGATGTAAAAAGGGGGCAAAATTGGGTCTATTTTAGACAGAAAAAATTGCCACGTGTCACGTATAGAATCCCTCATACTTTTTCTTATATGTAAGAGAGAGATATGTACATATATAATTTTAATTTTTTTTAAAATTAAATCCCATATACATGGTCCATGTATGAGTAGACCTTTACATTATCATCCTTCAATAGTTCAATTATAGCATAAACTTTCTCCAATGGCAGCCGTCTCAGCTTCTACTTTCATGACGTCACTCAGCACAAACTCCATACCAGCAAGGAAATTGTCCTCTCTCTCTTCCTCCAACTCAGTTTTCTTCACCAATAACATAACTAATCGGGCCGGAGTCGGGCTCTCGGTGGCCTCTCCCAGGAGAGCTAAGAGAAGGGGGCTGTCCTGCAAGTGCCTCTTCGGACTTGGGGTTCCGGAGCTCGTCGTCATTGCCGGCGTGGCGGTGCTCGTTTTCGGGCCGAAGAAGTTGCCTGAAGTTGGCCGTAGCATTGGCAAGACTGTCAAGAGCTTTCAGCAGGTCTTGCCCTTCAATTTCCCCTTAATTCTAATATTGTGGGCTTTTCTCGATTTCGTATTTTGTTATTTCAGCTGATTAATTATTAGTTTATAAGATTTGGAGATGCCCTAGTTGTTAGGTTTGTGTTTCAGAGAGGTAATTGACTTTGAGAATCAATTTTCTCAACCAAGGAAAAAAAATAAAAATTGAAAAGTATATGTGGGTTTAGTTAAGGGGATTCCTGTGCAATCAGCAGTAGCTTCACTTACCGTTTCTGTTATATTTTAGATTAATCTAGATTTTTTGGTTGTATGCCATGGATTTTGTTGATATTACGTGATTATATGGATTTTTGTGATGGCAATGTAAGAATATTTGGCTCGAAAGTATTGAGGTCATGGTTTATTATCGTGTCGTGCTAGGCTTTACTTAATAATGAAACAAATCAAAACCGTTAACTAGGTATTAAGTAAGTGCTAGTGTTATTTATAATGTACTACAAATTAATTATTCGAAATCTATGATTAAGTTTACAGGAAGAATCAGAGCATAACAAGAAATTGAATTTCATACACTTAGAAAATTATATGAGGTCATGGACTCGCTCATCACGATTACTATAGCTGTTATCGAGTTGGAATTAGAAGGTGGAATATGGAGTTGAGGTGGAACATAAGAGTATACTAAGCTTGATCTAAAACAAAGTAAATGTGGATTGCAGAAAAGGACTATTTTAAACTTAATGCACAGTCACCTATTAAAGGTAACTAATATGCTGACTTGACGATACTTGCTCCTTGCCGCTTATTGTTTGTTGAGTGCTTTATTTGGAGCTTAGTTCTACTGGCATCTTGATATAGGACTTTCTTATGTACGACTTGACTGTTGATATCAAACTATATATGCCTAATTGTTAGATCGAGTTTCATTTTGTTGCCTTACGTTTTTTTTTTCAAAAGATCATCATCCTGCACTATTTACCCATCTTAATTTATCTATTAGGCTATTAGCTAGTCTAAGTTATTTATAATGGAGCCTCTGATTAGTAATTGAGTGTATTGTGTTATTTGAAGAAATCTCTCATTGGTGAAAGTTTCAAGTTGGTTCAAGTCAAGCTCTCATCTTACTCGAAACACTAACAGAAAATCAAAATTGCAGCTGTAATTCTTTTGCGTTATTTGGCCTTCTCCATTATCTATCATTCTTTAGTCTCCCGAGTGTATAATAAATAATTTTGCAGTTATCTTAATTGAGTATCTCTAACAATCGATGTCATTGCCATTGAGAAAAAACAATAAATTTGGTAATAAATCAAAAAATTTGGGACTTAAAAACATGCTGTTGTTGATTCTGTTCAGATAATTTTGAAGTTATAATTGGATTGAATTTTTTATAGCACCCTCTTTGAACTAATTTTATTTTATCCATACCTTCGGGACTTTTTTCTTATACTCGAGATCATATGTGAGAATCCTTATTTACCTGTGATGAAAGTGTTTTTATGTAGTACTGTTTACTAAAACTGGAAACAGAGTGAATTTGTTCCATAATACAAATTTACTTATTAACTGCGCAATTTTGATACGGTAATTACTAATGCAAGTTTTCTGAATTTGACCTGTTGCATCTTAATTTTCTTTCGAAGTTTTGTTGAATCGTCAAGTATTTTTTTTTTTTTAATGCCTTTTCAATTGTAGGCTGCAAAGGAATTCGAGACAGAGCTGAAGAAGGATGGAGAATCATCTGCAGAGCCGTCTGGCGAGAAGATTAAAACTGCCAGCGAGGACAAGCAGCAAGAAGCTCAAGTTCCAAGCACGAAAGAGAGTTCTTAAATTTCCTTAAATGTGTTGTACTTGTCGTGTACTTGGAAGTTGTTGCAGTTACTTGTTTCTTTTTCTATGAGCACCAAAATTTTTGGATACAAATTGACTATGAGTGTAGTGCTATTAAATTAAACGAGCCTGACTCGGCTCGTTAAGGCTCGAGTTCGGCTCGAGCTCGAGCTCATTTAAAGCTTGTTTGGAGCTCGGCTCGATAAGACTCGAAAAGAGAGTTTTTATATAATTTTCCAAAGTTCAGCTCGTTAATAGTGATAAATGAGCGGAGCTCGAGCTCGATTTATGGCTCGTTTAGCTCGGCTAGTTTACAGGCCTATGAGTGAGTGACTGTCAGTGGTTGATTATACCATTTTCGGGTAAACTGCGCCAAACCCCCCTGTGTTATGCGAAATAGGCGCGTTACTACCCTGTGTTTTAAAAAATGCATAACACCCCCTTGTATTAGAGTAATCGATGCACACGCTCCCTTTTTTTATTTGTCCAGTTAACGGAGTTAATTTTTTGCTGAAAATCCCGTTATACCCTCTGAATTTTTTATATATATTTTTTATAAATTGAATTTATCACGATATTTTAAAAATATAGCGATAAATTGGCTTAAAAAAATTTGCAACCCATGAGGTCCAAACCCAAGACCTCATGGGAGGATAGGAGCATTGCTACCACCCCACCAATCCAACTTGTATGTTAGATTTAAGAACGTTAAATATATATAGACATTACACATGTACAAATTAAATTAAATTTGAAAGATAATGTAAATTATATTAAAATACATTAACAAACTATAAGCTTATAATAAATTAAAATATAATAAACTATGCAAAATAAAGTGAATAATTACAATAACTTATATGTATTTATACAAAAATTATAGTTAAAATAACGATATTTATTGTATTTAATTTAAATTATTTTCATTTACTTTTTTTATTATTTATTTTAAATTGTATTATATCATATTATACTATTGAATTATTCATTTTATTTCATCTTTTATATCTTAGTTATCAAATTTTATTTATTTTGTTTAACTTAATACAATGATATAAAATTAAAATATATTTTACTAAATAAAATTTTGAAATTAAAATTATTTATTTCTATTTAAAATCATTTACTAAAAATAATAATTTCTTTCTAATTTTTTATTCATATGGTATTGAAGAGTAAATTGTACTAAAAATTAATAGATAAATTATATTTTTATTTTACTGTTAATTTAATATTTTTATTTATTTTAATATACTATTTTATAATAAGTTAATTTATTTTACATTAACATTTTTATATTTTATTATTTTATATTATATTTTTTATGTTATTTTAACTAGTTTACTTTAATTTTATTCATTTTCTAATTTAATATTATTATTATTATACATTTACAATTTATATTATTAATTTTATTTTAATAAATAAAATTGTTAATTTATTTAATTTTAATTCCTGCTACTATAATTACTTTTATCTAACTTTATTATCATTTATTTTCATTATTTTTATATTATTTTAACTTATTTTATGTTATTATTAAATTATTATTATTGTTATGATTACTTAATATATATTAAATGTACCTACTATATTAATTATTCTTTTTATTTTTAAATATAATTTTTTTTATTATTATATATTTCCAAATTTATATTAATTTTAATTTTATAATATAAATATATAATTTATTTAATTTCAATTCATGCTACTATATTAAGTTCTATCATACTGTATTTTTTACATTATTTTTATTCTCAAACTCTTATTATTATTATTATTATTATGATTATTATTATTATTATTATTATTACTATTATTATTATTTAATTTGTTTTAAATTTACCTATTATATTTTTATTTTACTTTATTAATTCGCTTAGAGTTGATATAATAAATGTTTAGTGGGCAAGTTCACCTCCTTTAGACCCAGGTTCGATCCCTGCTACTAGCAAAAAATTTTAGTTTGTTCAATAAAGCACCTTTAGACCCAGGTTCGATCCCTGCTACTAGCAAAAAATTTTAGTTTGTTCAATAAAGCACAGAAGGGTATAAAGGTAATTAATTAATTATGTAAAATTAAAAAAATGTAAAATTTTCGCAGGTATAGAAGGTGTTGTGCACGCGCCGTTAAGTTGGACGGAATGGATGAATCGTGCAACAACTATTTAAATACAAGGGGTGTCATGCATTTTTTAAAACACAGGGTAAAGTGCGCCTATTTCGTAAAACAGGGGTTTGGCGTAAATTACCCTACCATTTTCTCCCATTTGGTTTTTTGGTCTTTTGCAAATGTGCCTGTGTAGTCGTGTGATAAATTTGCAGGTTGGGATTATGAAGCTCTGCGCTATCTGTGGAAAACTGCTGCAAATTACTGAGGTGTATTCATTTAGAATGTTTCTAGATTTTAAAGATTGTGGTGTGTTTTATTTTGGATGTTTGGATATTTTTAAATGTTTGAAGGTATTACTTTAAAATTTTAATCTTTCAAAGTTAGGTAATATTCAATTTACTTATGACTTGAATTTGTTTGGATTTTTAAAAACTTATTGTGATCTTAAACCCAAATCATACATATTAAATCCTATATCTTACATCCATATAAAAGATTTTCACCGATTTTTTTGCAAAACATCATATTTAAAAAACCCTTCATATTAAAAGATAAAACTTTCATTATAAAATGTCACATTTAAAACAAATATAAAAATAAAATTGTAATATTTTCATAATATATTTTTTAGCAAAGATAAAAATAAATTTCGTTAATAAATTTGGGTCTTTAAATTTTTTTATAGGTAAGTTGCTTTCGCAACTTTTGGTGGTGAAATATATATATAGAATAAAAAATTGTTTGTACAATTATAATTTATCTTAATTTAAAAATTTAAAAATAAAATAAATCATTAAAATATATTTTCATTCAATAAATACAAATCTTATCAAGTTTTAGTTTATTATTTTTTTTATTATATCAACTTTAATCTGTACCTTTATCCCATATCAATTCATAATTTCAAATATCACAAGATTTTTTAATTTTTTTTCCCTAAAAATAACATTTTCCAATTTCTTGACCCAAAAATTTCCATATTTTGTTTGCTTTTACCATTTCCACTTTATCCTTTTCTTCTAATTTCTATTCGTTTTTACTTATTAAGGAAAATCGAGGAAGAGAGGAGAGAGATGGATAGAGTGTTTTCAGTGGATGAGATACCCGACCAATTCTGGTCGCCGCCGATTCGCCTCGATGATGCCGACGTGGAGCCGGCGTCGTCGTGCGCCGCCGCGTCGTCCTCTTCGAAGATGAACCGCAGCTCATCGGAATGGGCGTTCCAGCGGTTCCTGCAGGAGGCCGCCTCGCCCGATCACGACAGCGCACCCCTCAAAACCGACGCCGCCGTGGAGATCAAGAGCAGCAATCATCATTACAACGGAAATCAGCAGCCACAGGTGGCGGCGGCGGCCGCCGGACCTCCGCTGAATATTCCGATCGATTCGGAGGAGTACCAGGCGTTTCTCAAGAGCCGTCTGGATTTGGCATGCGCCGCGGTCGCGTTGACTCGGGTAGCTTCCATTTTTCCTTTGTTATTTCTTGTTGAGAAATATTTTTATCTATTTTTAACGAAAATGGAGAAAGCAGTTGGGAGTTTCCTATTAAATTGATTTTGGGGCGTCTGTGTGTGATGATGCTCAGCTGAGAAATTTGTGCGCATCATTCGTTGTGCTTTTTGGCGTTTTTCAAACAACAATCCCATTTCAGATTTAGGTTTGTTAATGTTCTTTATGCGTAGGTAGTTAGCTTGTGCAGTGGCTTATGGGTTGCTCCTATGTACATTAGCTATACTTTTTCTGAAAGAAATAAGATAAACTTCTGAAAGTTGGACTCTGATATGCAGGCAACTAAAGGAAAGGCTTGTGATTCCGAGTCCTTTGCAGCAGCAGCAGCATCTGATGTCGGCTCTCAGGCATCCAATTCATCACACTGTAAAGGTTATTTAATATTTTGTTTCATCATTATGGATTGAATTTTATCTGTTTCTTCATAAACTTGAATGTTCTTCATGCCTTTATGGTGTGCTTGTGAATACATATACATGTGTTAAAATGTAACTTGATCTGTATTGGACTAATGAACCTGCCATGTAGCTGAGCAGCATATAGACTAGTTTCAACATAGTAAAACCGCATCCTTAGCAACTTAGTTTCAGAACCAAAGTATTTATGCTGCGTAAGGGTTAGCACCAGAATACTCATAATGTGTGGCGTAAATGTACAATCTTTAGTCTGTATCCAAATTTATGCTACAAAGTACATGGGATTTTGCCTTAATAAGTTTTCTTTTCGGATATCGAAGTGCTTGAGCAAGAATATCTTGAGGCATAACATTTACAAAACTAAGCTTGAGCAAGAATATCTTGAGGCATAACATTTACAAAACTAAACTATAGAACTTCAACCCAACACTTGCAAACCGGATCACTCTTGTATGATAGTTAGAAAGTGAGGAGGTCGGACAGTAACAATGAAATGACATGAATGGGAATGCTTTAAAGGTAGTTGACCTTGTAGTGTATCATCATTTATATTTATATGTGGGATTGCAATTTCCTGTTTAGCAGGGCGTGACTCATTGAAGGCACAAGACAAGGATACAACTGGTGTGCCTCCCATTCCTGCAAGTTCCAGGAAAGCTGGTACGCAGGTGAAGTCAACAACAAGTGGCTCCTCAGGGGAACAGTCTGATGATGATGAGGCTGAGGGCGAAAATGAAACTACCCAGAATATGGACCCCTCAGATGCAAAACGCATGAGAAGGTATTTGATACGTATCTATATTTAGCTCAGGCTTTGATTGGTTGTACTTTCCTTTTATTCTTTTCCATTTCTGGGGCTAATGGCAATTTTGGAAAAATAAGAATGAGTTTTACTAATCTGATTGATCATGTGATGAAAATGTAATGATGTTAATTGAGTGTGCTTAGTGTTTAATAAAGTAGAGGTTGGATTTGACGGGTGGTTGGAAGGTAAGGGATGATGGACAACCTAATGTGATATTTTCTAAATACAACTATAGCTGGATATGATTAATGATTGGAAGTGAAGATGAGATAAATAGTGTAACAATTTAAGTTCTTTAAAATCAGACATTTTCCCTCAAAAAGTATTTGGAAGAAAAACATTACGAAATCAAACCACAAGCAACCAAAGTCTTAATTCTTCAGTTGACTCTATCAAAGGCACGACAATCATGTAAAGATGATACACATACGAAAATTAGTAGTGTGTGAGCTCTATATGTCTTAAGAGTTACGTTTTTGGAACATCTCTAAATTTCTTATGAAGATGTGCACCAAATTGAATGGGCTCACTTGTTTGTACACCAAATTGAATGGGCTCACTTGTTTGTACAATTACATCGTTTGCATGCTACTCCAGATTAGGTGAACTTCTCATTTGACATGAGAAAAACATGACCTATACCTGACTACCCTTTTTCTTCTTCTTTTCTTCCTCTCTTTGATGACCTATTTTGAGTTAACATCTGGCAGAGAACTAATTTAAATAAGTGGTTCAAACTATTGCAATAATTCATAAAAAGGTTTAAGGTGGAAATTTGTCTGCATTCATTTGATTTTTTCCATTCAGAATTTCGAATTAGAAAGCTTGGACTGCAGGGAATGCTGCTATTGTTGTTCTACTTTTCTTCTTATCATAATCTGGTTGCAATATATCAAAGTATGATGCTTGTGGAATAACTTTTTCAGTATTTCCATTTGTTGGCTCTTGCATTATTATATAGATGCAGGTTTCAGTGTGCTTTCTTTTTCTCTCGTGGACTGTATAATGCTTAAAAATATACTTGTTGATTTTGTGGCACATTTACACAGAAAAATGGCCCAACTTTTATAGATATAGTGGCATGTACAAGATATATGACTCCCCGTGCAGAAAAAAAGGATTCTCTGGTGTGAGATGTGAGAATTGAGAAGTGAGAGCAGGATTATCTCTATACCGGATTCCAATAATATATGAAATGTACATGGGTTAGTGATTATCTTAGTAATATCCATATTTAATAAAATAAATCCCTTGATTGCACTAATGTAGTTATATATCTTGTTAGTCGTAATACCTGTTTAGTTTCAAACTAAGGCCTGTTAACGAATTAATTTCACCTAAACTTTGTCAGAATGCTTTCAAATAGAGAATCAGCTCGACGATCAAGAAGACGAAAACAGGTTCATTTGACAGAGCTTGAGACACAGGTATGGAATCAACTCCCGTTAATTTGTTTTCGGTAATATTTTCATCTTTCAACAGCTAAATATTAGCTGTGTTTTGTTATAGGTCTCTCAACTGAAAGTCGAAAACTCTTCCTTGCTGAAGCGCTTCACTGACATAAGCCAGAAGTACAATGAAGCAGCTGTTGATAATAGAGTCCTTAAAGCTGATGTTGAGACCTTGAGAGCCAAGGTAACTTCTATCATCCTAAATCCAAAACGATGATGACTCTCACTTTCACTAGGTATTGTGTGGGTTTCGCACAATAGGATCTCTTTTAGTGAAAAAAAAGGTGTTATGTGAGTCGCCTGTTGGCCCTGTTCAGTACCCGAAGCTGTGTGATTTTTTCATTAGGCGGTTTTCATTTTAGGCTATGTTTGGTAAAAAGTGAATTTCGAGCTTATAGCTTATATCTTATGACTTATGGCTGAAAAGTTAGCTTAGTAAAACTAGCTGAAATAAAAAAATTTAATGGGCTTATTTGAAATCTACCCAAGGAAACTTATGAGATAAGCTCGAGCTTTTTGAAAAAGTAGTCCTACCAAATCAAGTTTCTTTGAATACAGGAAGCTTATAAGCTAATCAAATAAGCTATAAGCTAGCTTATATGCTTACTAAACATAGCCTTAGAATAACTATCATACTCAGTTCTACTCGTTACTTAATCCTGACTTGATTACGCAGGCTACTTTGAATTTTGTCTTTAATTTGGTGTGAGTGACAATTGGAAAAAAAATTAGGTTGGCCGTTTTGTTTGTTGTACAGTTGTCAAATTTTTGTTCTATGAGTGCGTTGGATGTGAAGATTCCCTTCGACATTTTTACTCTTTGCAGGTGAAAATGGCTGAAGAAACCGTGAAAAGAGTAACTGGGCTGAACCCACTATTTCAGGCCATGTCAGAAATATCGACCATGGGCTTGCCATCGTTTGCCACCACTCATTGTGACACATCACCGGATGCTGATGTACCTATAGTACTAGATAATGATCCCAAGAAGCAAAATTACTATCATGCCCCTTACACCACTACTGCTGCTACTACTACTACTACTAATAATAATAATAGTGCCACCAATAATAATAATAATAATAATAGCCCTTCAACAGCCGAGAACATTGTGCAAGCAAAGGGAATGAATGTAGGGATTGGGCCAAACAAGATTGTAAGAACGGACTCAATGCAGAGGGTTGCCAGCTTGGAACATTTGCAAAAGCGTATACGTGATGGTGGGCCGACCTCATCTGGCGGAGGTCAGTGAATTAAGGTCACGTATCGAATGAGAATAATTCCATTTGGATGTTAGCTATTGAATTTGTGGTCTTTTATGTTGTCAAGTTAATTATGAATGGGAAAACTTATTTATCTCAGCCTTAAAATTTGGTCTTTGTCACTGCTGTACTTTTTGAATCTGTTGATGTTTGTAAATTCTCCCTGACTGGAAAGTGGAAACTCTTGTGTGCATGTAATGTTTAAAAGGACTTATGGTTACCAGTCGATTTGTATAGCTGGTAAAAATAAGGAAAATAAAGGATGGTGCAGCTTAGCAGTAGATGTACTACCGTGGCTGTACAATACAATCTTTTTTTTTTTTTTTTTTTTTTTTTTTTTTTTTTTTTTTTTTTTTTTTTTTTTTTTTTTTTTTTTTTTTTTTTTTTTTTTTTTTTTTTTTTTTTTTTTTTTTTTTTTTTTTTTTTTTTTTTTTTTTTTTTTTTTTTTTTTTTTTTTTTTTTTTTTTTTTTTTTTTTTTTTTTTTTTTTTTTTTTTTTTTTTTTTTTTTTTTTTTTTTTTTTTTTTTTTTTTTTTTTTTTTTTTTTTTTTTTTTTTTTTTTTTTTTTTTTTTTTTTTTTTTTTTTTTTTTTTTTTTTTTTTTTTTTTTTTTTTTTTTTTTTTTTTTTTTTTTTTTTTTTTTTTTTTTTTTTTTTTTTTTTTTTTTTTTTTTTTTTTTTTTTTTTTTTTTTTTTTTTTTTTTTTTTTTTTTTTTTTTTTTTTTAAACGACAAAGTAATGGATAAACACATAATTACATCTAGAAAATAATTAAACAATCGACTCAAACAACTATAGATTTCAATTTAGTGTGAGGTTAAACTCGAAGGTCGCTTAGAACCTACATGACTAAACAACAACATATCTACAAACATAAATTAACTCCCACGAGTAGAGAATAACTGATCCCACATAGGATAATGCACAACACTCCCAATCGGGAGAATAACACCACACTCGCTAAACACTACAAACCAACAAAACACACAAACACTATAACAAATCTAATAGCTAAACTAAAGCGACTGAAGCCACTTCAAACCATCACCACTCGAGCAAACAAACCCAATGCGACTATCCGATGCGGACCTTGCCCGGTCAAGCCTGTTGACCACAGGTCCAGACTCGACTCGAATTTCAACCGGACCGACTCAGGGCCATATTTAAATTATAAAATAACCTACTAATCCTATCTAAATACTTAACATACATAATTAAAATTAACTACTTCCGTTCATATAATTTGTTGAGCCCGGAATGCTCGGTTCGCATCACGCCACTAGTACACTCGCCAAAAAATGTTAAATTCTTATTCATTTTCTGCTTTTTCTTTTGTTTATTTTTTTGGATCCAATCAAATTATTTTTCAAGATTCCTCGAGTTAATGAGCGCGAGTCTACTAGTGGCGCATTAACTCAAGTTCCCTGTCAATACATCTTCACGGATTAGGGATTTGATCTCTCTCTCCTCTCTCATCATACTAACCGATATTAGCAGCAGCGGCCATGTCCGGCGAATCAGCCTCTGCTATCCCAAAAGGCCAAGTATATTGCATACTTCCTTTTTATGGTCCTTCAAATTCTGCTTCGTTTTTAAGCATATTAGGCGCAGGCGTAAGTTCAGGTTTATGATCAAGCATTATGGTGTATGCATACAGGTTGATTTGCAGGAGTTCGTGGATTGGTCTGGTGTGGAATGCTTGAATCAAAGCGGCAGCCACTCTCTTCCAAATGCTCTCAAGCAGGTGTGCTTGTTATCTACCCAATTTGTGATGAAGGAATTAGAGTCCTGTTATGTTCATCTTTGTGCACTCCAATTTGTTTGTTTAGCTGCCTTTTGGAGGAATTCAGGCTCATGGGCTTTGAGATTTTATTTAGGCTTTTCTGGGTTCTTGAGTTCTGCAAATTGTAGGGGATTTCCAAGTGTTTCCTTTTGTAAGATTTAGGATTGTGTTATAATATGTCAATTGATAGACCTAGGCAAAAAATCGACACCAGGTTAGGCTGCTCACTGATTTCTTGGTCCTCTCTTTTTCTGTCTGATTCTCGTTTTTCGTCTTTTGGATTTGGTCATCATTTATGGTCTAATGTTAGTTCACTTGTCGAATCAGGGTTACAGAGAAGATGATGGTTTGCATTTGGAAAGCGATGCTGATGAACAACTGTTGATTTATATTCCTTTTACTCAAGTTATTAAACTCCATTCCTTTGTAATAAGAGGACCAGAGGAAGAAGGTAAACTAGCTGTTGAAAATCTTGAAAGCCTATAAACTTATTTGAAGCTGCAAGAATAACAGTCGTTCAATACATTATTGAACTTACTTTCCTGATATGCTTCTTGTTCTGCGAGCGAATGTTTGTGATTCTGGTATTTTATTGTTAAAAAATTTGAATCAGCATTTCTTTCATCTTGGATGGTTGATTGCATATGTTATTACTCCACTTTTACCTCCCGCTATTGGTTACTCATTCTTATTCTCACTCATTTCAATTGTTTGCTTTCCTTATGAGGCAATGTTCCAGTTCCCCCATAATAAGAATTAAACCCTTAAATATCATTTCATCTCCCAGACCTATCATATTTCCAAAAGTTATGCACATAACTTCCTGATCTTACAAGACACACAAACCACATACATTTATTTAAGTTTTTCATATATGTGCTTATCTATTATTGACACTTGCTGCTTCACATATTCCACTTGTTAAAATGGATGTAAGATATGCTGTTGGGTGTAAGATTGTTTGTTCGATACTGTCTAAGGTCCACCATTTTTTCTTTTATTTTTCTAGATGCTTCCTTTTTAATTTATTAAATATCATCTCTCTCCATTTCTACTTTCAACCTATTTATTGATTATTTCTTCCATTGAATTTTCACTTTTACTAATCAGTTCTGCATTTTTATAATTTAGTAGTTCCTTACTTAGAAACAGAACACATGTAACACAAAATATGTTGCTTTTTCTTGGATTTATTCATCTTTGATTTTCAGTTTGATGGCTGCACTTTCACACGTTTAATTCTGTACACAAGTTTGTGTTCAGACATATAATCAACAACGGACTAATATTTGGATGTAATTCAACTTTGTAGGCCCAAGAACTGTGAAGCTTTTTGCTAACAGGGAGCACATGGGGTTCAGGTAATATGGTGGTTTACATGTTTAACTGGATTAAAATTTCTCAGTTTTTCAAACTATTCCTGATTTTAGTGATTTACAGTAATGTCAATGATTTCCCTCCGAGTGATACAGCTGTTTTATCTGAGGACAACTATAAGGTAACATTAGTTTTTCATGCACTTCAATGGTTGTAAAAATTTTGTACTGTTTGGAGGAACATGCTCAATATTCTGAATTTCTTTAGGGAAAACCTGTGATAGTCAAGTATGTCAAGTTTCAAAATGTCCGCAGGTATCTCTCTCTCTCTCTCTCTCTCCCTCTCTCTCTCTATGCCTGTGAAGTTAGATGTTTTATGTTTGACATGCTCACCTTTTTGTGAACCAGCCTCACAATTTTCATTGAGGACAATCAATCAGGTTCTGAAATTACTAAAGTTCAAAAGATTGTTCTCCATGGAACTACGTAAGTTCTTCATGGCTCTTTCCTTCTATCTTTATGCTTATCATTTTCGAATTCCTTCATCCTGTGCGTGTGAAAAAACAGTTTGATGATCTAAACAGAACAAACTTTTCTTCGCTGAATACTTATTTAAGATGTTAAATAAGGAACACCAAATTTCTACACTCTACTGTATGCCTCCAATATGTGTCTCTCACATTGTATATACCCTGGAAAGAAATAGGATGGACGCTCTTTATGTAACTATAGTACCAACATTGTGTTATTGCAACCATCTATCTTATATAATCGAGGAGCAAGATTCTTTTTGCATAAGAAAAGCATACTGTGTGCAAGATAAGAAGAGAGAAGAATTTTCTCCAGCTGATTCTCCTAGCACAAAACAACATAACAAATAAAATGAGAATCAAGAATAATTCATATTTGGAGAATCTCTAATTGCTTTGATTTAAACTTCGAGCTAACTCATTAATATATTTAATGATTGACTGATGAGAAACGAGTAGTAGTTGTGATGCGGGAAGTGAAAGTTGATGAACTATAAAGATCGGAAGAAATATACTTTCTTAGATGAGGTTGCAATTTGTTTATGCTTCTTGTTTTGTCAATTCATATCGATCAAAGGATCACTAAAATCGATTCGAATCTAAGAGCAGGAGCCCCCATATTATGATGAATGCTATTGTAAACCCTTATTTATGCTGCAGGGTGGAAACGACAGATATGAAAGGTCTAAAGAAGATTGAGGACCACTAGTTTGAAACGAGCAAAGCGGATTCTAAATTTGTTGTATTTTGGAACTTTGTTTTGTTTTTTAGCCAGGAGAATTTGAGGAACCAAAATATTTTCAGTGATTATTTTAAATCTTTTTAGTTTATAAATTTTTAGTTTTTTCTATCTTTTGAACTCTTGGCAGATTCCAAGCCTAGATGTGAGGTTTGGTAGTGGAGTTTCGAAGATATGTTGATTTAAAGTATAAAATGTTCTGACAAACATTACAAAATCAGTAAGTTATTTGAGACCCCTACCTTATGGAAAAGTGGAACCTCTATAAAGTCTTAAATAAAATCTTTAACTTCTAAAGTGAGGACCAAGCTATAATGTCTGTGCCTGAGAATGTTGTTTATGGATTGTTCAATCACCATTTTCATTTTTTTATTTCTTTATTTTTTTGGCAAAGTTTCATTATTGGTTTACAACAGAGTTGTTAAACGAACGAGTCGCTCGTGAGCTTGGTTTGAGTTCGGCTCAACTTATTTGATAAACCAACAGAGTTTGAGCTCATTGAAAGCTCATATAGTTAATGAGTATGTTTGACTTGAGCTCATTGAAAGCTCATATAGTTAATGAGCATGTTTGACTGGACTTGTTAAAATTGAAAATACGAATTTATATATAACTAGTATTCGACCTTGTGCATTTGCACAGTGTAAATAGAATATTATAAGTTATATTTATGCTAATATTAAAATTATAAGTTACACAATGATATTATATTTTAAACATAGAGTATCATAAGTTATATTTATGCATATAATAATAAAAATATAAATAAGATAATGATATTATGTTTTAAAATTTGATCATTGGTTAAAATAAATATTACATAACTATTTGATTGCATATGAACCATTATATTACTTACATAAAATATAATAAATAATGTAATTTTGAGAGATCGCTAATTTATTAGCTTAAAAATATTAAATTTTATTATAACATTTGATTATGCTATTTTAAGGAATTTTAATATAACATTAAAATAAATTAACTTATTTAAAAATACAATCGCTAAATAAGATAAAAAAATATAATATTAATTTTAGAATAAATAACTTTAGCAAAAAGTTTACAATATTTTTTTTATGTTTATGTAACTTTCATATATCATTTAGTGTAAACTATAATTATTAGTTTTAATAATAAATATTATATGATATAATAAAATAATATAATTATTACTCCATTAATATAAAATGTAACGATTTTATTTTAATTAACACAAAAAAGTGCAATGAAATATTTTAGCATTAATTAGATATGATGGATTAATAATAATAATAGAAGATTGTAACATAAAAAGATGGTAAACAATAATTAATATTGTTAAATTTATTGTTGACAATTAAATATAGAGAGATATATAAATGATAAAGTTTGTAACGGTTTTTGGAGGAAAATCGAAATGATTTTTATTAAATGTTTTATTAGATGCTATTAGCCAACAATTATATATATATAGATTTATATAATTCAACTCTTTAATACTTGTTAAAAAATGAAAATAAGAGTTTTTTTTTTTTTAATATAATTTATGTAGTTGGACGTGTTAAGACTCAAGTTATGCTCATTTATGTTCAAGCTCGACTCTGTAATATTGATAAATTAGCCCAACTCGTTAATGGCTCGAGCTCAAGCACCATGATTTTGAACTCGACTCAATTTTATTTACAGCCCTAGTTTCAAAGTGTCGATTAAAAATTTTAATTGAATACCTCAATAAGTAGAGAAGCATTAAAATCTATTTACTATATAATTAGACAACTCATTCTAAATATAGTAAGTTTTGTTAGTGGAACCTACTACATACTTTCTATTTTGGGAAAGCCACTTCATGGACACGTGTTAATATTTATTTTATTATCATTATTATTATTTTTGAAAGCCAATTTAGTTATTCTGTTTTTCTTTCTTTTTTTTTTTGATCGCTTGACTACATAAATTAGAAAATTGTTTTATCAAATGCGTGTTGCTCTGCGATTGCCAAGATAATTACTTAAATAATCCATTAGTTTTCTTAAGATAAGTGATTTTAGTATGACACAATTATACATCTTAAATACAATAACATTTTAATTTTTATTTTATTTGAAGACGTATTGTTTTTTTTTAATGTATATGTTTTTAAATTTGTGACAAAATGAATTGTGTATATTATTAGTATTAGTAGAGAAATGAAGTTTAATATTTCATATGAAATGAACTATTACTAATATAAAGAGGTAACTCATTTCGTAAATTTTAAATTATGAGTCCCTTTAAATTATTTATATTTAAGGAAATCATTAACAATTAACCAAACCGTAAGTTTCTTTTAAACAGTTAAACATTAGATGTTTTAGTGTGGTGCGTAAAAAAATCAATACTTCACGATATTTAATGGTCTTTTTAATATAATATAGTGATCGGTTAATTTAGTGATTTAGTGAGCAATTGCGCACCAGTCATAAACTAATCTATTTATTTATATATTTATTGACTTTAAGTATTGTTATATTGTTTTAATGAACCCAAAATCATTTTCTGCAGGATTTTCAGTTAATTAATTAATTTTCAGTTATTTAGTTTTTTAGTGGGTAATGATGGGTTATTTTAGTAGCCAAAATAACATCCATCACTCCCTATATATATGTCGACAGTTATTTGAATTGAAGTTATATAATCTATTTACTATAATTATGGACAATTCAAATAAAAAGAAAAAAATTATTTTCAAAGAGATCAACAACGGCCTGATCGTGCATTCCCCACAAATTTTAAAATTTATTTTTTATACTTAAATTAAATAAAAATAAATAATGAAATTTTGTTTTGAATAGAGTAAGTTGGTTTTGAAGAAGCTGTTTAGAGGATTGAACAATATTTTTGAATAGAGTAAGTAGGTTTTGAATAGAGTAAGTTGGTTTTGAAGAAGCGGTTTAGAAGAACCTCCTATGTCACATTGTCAGATCTATACTTATATTAAAGGGAGTAATATTTACCAAATTAAGTAGCCAGAAAAGTCAACAGTATTTATTGCATTACTATTTCCGTATTATACTATATAAAAAGATATCTTATTTAATACATTTACTATCCAGAATAGTCAACTGCATTAAATCTCATTACTATTTTGGTATTATAATATTTTATTTATTTAATTGATTTATTTATTTGTTTTATTTTAAGAAGGTAAGTATAATAAAAAGATTTTAATAATAAAAAAATCAAATATCAAATAAAAATGTACACTTTGACTTATTTGATTATATTTGGTATTTGATTATACTAAATATATTCTTATTTAGTATTATACATTAAATACTTACTAAAGTACTTATTTGTTCTATTTGCCAAAGTTAAGTATAGATTTGTTTATATTATCAAATCATAAAAATATATTAAATCCATATTGTAAAAAAAAAAAAATCATATAATTTTATAACAATTCTACTACACTATTTAACAATATTCTTTTTTTATTATATAATAAAATAATAATTAAATATTATATGGTGAACAACAATAAGTAAAACAGTTACTTTCTCTTATATTAAGGGATAAATTTATATACTAAAATTAAAAGTTTATTAGTATAAATGTTTTAGTGAGATAATATATTAATTATTTTACAAGCTAGCCCTAACATGCTCATATTTAATGTTTTAAACGATGTAGAAAAAAGCTTATAATAACTTTAATATTCTTTAGACTTAAACGTTGATTAAAAGAGATAAAAATTCTTAATTTTTTAGACTTAAACGTTGATTAACACCATATAATGAGAGTTTATATTTAGTAAAATTCCTAATAAAAAAATTAATTTTTGCTATATTTTAGAATACCTTTAAATTCATTATAAAAAAAAAGAAAAAAAAAACTACAATGAAAAAAGCAAGTAAGCTATATATCGATTTGTTGTACTCCTCAAATCATATTCACAATTTGGCTACAAGGAAAGGAAACTCAATAAAAGTACAAGAGATTTTAAGACTCCACTTGAATATTATAAAACTTTTATTGAACATTGTACAATTTCTTGCGTATTATAAACTTTTATTGAATATTGCATCTTATAATATAATATTCTCTAAATAAATATATCTCGTGCTTCGCACGGGTCACGTACTATATATATCCCGTACATTTTTCTTTATTCATGTATATAATTATAAGCCTGGATAAATAGCCTTAAAATTGTGCACCTCGTGCATCGCACGGGCTCTGTACTAGTGTACGCTAAATACGCACATCTTCAAATCTCGTTAGTTAGGTCTCAAATAAACATATATCTCAATTCTCAATACTTGAAAAAGTAAAATACATTTAAGCTAAATCCACACATCTTCAAATCTCATTAGGTAGGACTCAAACGAACATACCCTCTCGCCGTGATATCATTAATGAAAATATATGCAATGACTAGCTCTGGTGTTATTTTTCATTACAAAGGCACACGTTTTCAAACTGATATATCATACTTTCGAAACAAGTATTAATTATTAGGGCCACCAAAAATAAAACAATTGCATTGCATAAACAATTACAATGATGACACACAGATTATGTCATCCCAAAAAAATCCACCTAAAATCGACAGCAAACTAGGTTTGAAAGAGCTGATAACCGTTCTCTCCAAAATTTCCTATTCCATTAGGACTTGTATGGCTGGATAGTAGATGATACTACAAAGGTACTAATCCTCAAGGATTAATTCCTGCAGTCTATAGTATCTTGTGCCTATTAATTATCCAATCTTTCCATTCAAAAGCAAGGTCCAAGCTCTCCTCAAGGATCATAAACTCAACAAATGTAAAATTGTAAATGTGACGAGACACTTCACCTTCATTTGCTTTGATCCTTTCCACAGCACCTTCAAATACAAAAAAGCATGTCAAATAATCTATATTTGCAACAGAACATTAAAGTTTAAATGAAAAGTAAAGCACTACATACTCACATACCCGATGGATGAGAATGGGTTGACTAGGAAAGTAAAATAGGTGAATAGAAGTTGCAGCAGTTATGTCAATACGATCAACAAAAGTTAAGGATAGGTCAAGAGTAACTTGCAGAACAAATTATTTATGCAATTTTGGGGATAAGAAGAGGAAGCATTCATCTTCAAACCAAAACTAAGCGGTTTAAGCATCTCCACATCAAGAACAATAAGATTGAATATGAACACGATGATGGGAGAGGAAAAAAAGTCTCTCGACACTGAAGCTTCATTTTTGTTGATGGATTTGAAGCTAAATATTTCAAATCCATAATAATTGGATCTCATCAGTCCGATCCAATTCGTTACGGATCACCTCAACATTGACATATTTGGGCCCAACTGGGAGGAGGGGAAGATAAACAGAAACAATAGTAATTTACGAAATCAACCCAACAATGAAATAATCCCTCCTATATATTAATTGAGAACGTGTTGAGCCTATGTGGCAGGCTCGCATGCTTCGGGATCCTATGTGGCAAAATTACATGCTTCGTTATTAGGTTTGGATGGATTTAATTTAGGTTCGAATTATCTATAAATATGTTGATTATTTATGGTAGGGGTGGGCGCGGTCCGGGACGGTCCTGGATTTGACTTGTCCGGACACCCATCCCACTTTTATGAATCCGTCCATGAACTGCCCGGGATGAGGCACCGTCCCCACCCATGTAATACATGGGTGTTGTACTAGTTGGCTCCTAATTGACAATTTTGATGGTTGCCTTCTAGTTTGGTGCTGATGAGATTTCTAATCCTTATCGGATACAAACCAATAGAGTTCGGATGATCTCTGGGAATTGATTAACATCAGGCATTACCTTATACACTACTATTTAGTTAGATGAGGATTTGCTCTTATATGGAAAGAAAGGGGAAATACCTCTTGTACAATTTTTTAGAACCACACGGACAAGGTGTATTCCTACTTATCTGTCCACTCTTAGCCAAGTTTGATCGGGCAACATCTAATGGAGAAGATCCCATCAGCTTCTGCATCTGAAATCAATGAATTCTGGAAAAGTCAATAATTTAGACAAAATGAAAATATAATATATATATATATATATATACATACATATATATACAAATCAACCACGTATACAATAATCTTTCTTTTTTGTTCTTCGCCCTCAACTGAGTTGATCAAGCACATGGTTTTAAATGACAATCACACACAATCATGAATCACCGCAAAATTGGTATTGTGAATTCAATAAGAAGCAAATAACAGCGGCATACTTGAATGGAAGGGTAAATGATGTTAGGATTGCAAAGCAGAGCAGGATCTAGTTTAAGTTGTATGGATTTACAATATTTTGAGTTCCATTTTTGTTAGTAAACAATATCCTTGCAAGGGAGGCCAATAGTTAAGGTTATGTTTGGTAAAACTAGCTTAGTTAAAGTTATGTTTGGTTAAACTAGCTGATAAGCTAGCAGCTGATAGCTGATAATCAAGTTTATAGCCTATAAGTGATTTTCGAGCTTACAGCTTATAGCTTATGACTTACAGCTGAAAATCTAGCATATATGATAGAAGTGTTTGGTAAATTAGCTGATAAAAATTTCAATGAGTTTATTTGAAAAACTACTCAAAGAAGCTTATGAGATAAGCTCGAGCTTTTTGAAAAAGCTCGAATATTGGAAGCTTATAAGCTAACCAAATAAGCTATAAGCTAGCTTATTAGTCTAAGTTAAGGTTTTGTTGTATTTGATGGGACGGAAGACACAAGAAATATACACAACTAAAAGGCAAGAGTATCACTCTGAACTCTTTTCCTGCCACTTGCGTATTTAGAATGAATTACAAGCTATAAAGCTTCAATGGGTTACTAGCATAACTTATGTCTAGTTATATGAATGGCTGGGCCTATCCCCCAAGTTTCTTGAACAATGCACTTACGGCACTTTATTGCATCTGTTATATTAATCATCTTTACTATGCACTAAGCCTCCTTAGGATTTGTTTGGTTGAGCTGATTTGGATAACCTAATGGCTGGTAGCTGATAGCTGATGATAGGTAGTTGTTAGCTAAAAACTTGTTTTAAATTAGTGCTTGGTAAATTGGCTTACCAGTAGTTGATTAAAGATCAATTTACCAAGATAGATTGCTTATTTTTAAGTCCAATTAGCTAATGAACTCTTTACCAAGTGGAACAGAGGAACTAGTTGGAGGTAAATAAGCTACCACTTTTCTCCATCTGCTCAACCAAGCGCTCCCTTAGTTCAACTTTAAATGCAGCCAAAGCGAAAGTCACATCATTAAACAGAATAAAAATTTATATAAACTATAATTAACCTATAGTAGCATTGTGAATAAAAGGATAAACATAGAGACACGTGATAAAATACCTCCGCCATATTCTTGGGCATCGGTTTCCCTTCCGCTCTAAGCTGTTCAATCTTTTTCTGGGCATCTTTCGCCCATGTAAATTTTGCCAAGGCATTTTCAACATCAATAACGGTGCAATTACACTGTTTTGCAGCATCCTTCTTGTGACTGGTTTGAATGTTCTACACGAAACACATATTTGATTGATCATAAGAACCACTTAACAACATCAAATATACACACAACACCAGCTGCAGCATTAAGTTTCAGAACCCAACCAAATTCATCGAAAAAAAGACCTAACAGACAGATCCACATTTTAGCTAATTCGCTCATGAAGAAATCGAATCAAATCAAACAATCAAGCCCTTTCCCAACCATGCATTTCTCGATAACCAACTCAGACATCCAGCAAAGACAACGAACTCGTAATCTCAATTAGTATCAAACTGAAATACCAAATAACAAATTCAATTAGTAACAAACCTCGCCAGTAGGATCAACACCCCCGAGGTATCGGATTATGGCTTCCTGCTTCTCGAAGGCGTCGGCGAAAGTGGCTTCGCTGCCCCTCCCCACCACGAACTGCTTCAGCTTCTTCAGCTTCCTGGCTTTGTTCATCTCCTCCGCAAACCCTGTTTTCATGAATTTCCAAATAATCACAGAGCTGAAAACGCCGTCGTTCTACACATTTTACGGCGATGGGAGGGGAAAATCACTCACGGATAAGGGTGAAGGAGCCGGAGGTCTCGGCGGAGGCGGAGTCGGCGCCCTTGCTTCCGGTGAACACTCCTTTAATCTTGTCCATCCATGACGCGCTGAGATGGGGAGTGGATGAGATCCAACGGCGGGTGGACGGAGCTGCGCTACGGCGGCTAACTCGACAGTAAGATGAGACCAGTGATCGGAGCATTGTTACGATTACTAACGCCTAATGCATTTTCTATGTATAGGGTTTAAGCGACGTTTGAATAGGGCTGGGACCGGTCCGGTTCCTAAGATATTTTTCAGGAATGGGAACCGGAACCGCGACATAATAACCGATTCGGTTAACATATAAAAATTTGCAGGAACCGAATTAAGTTATAATGGTTTGATTTTTTCGGTTCTTCGTGTAACTGAATAATGAAAAATAACCGACAATAACTAGTTTTAAGTTAAGAACTTATCAAAAAATTACAACACGCTTAAAGTATCATAAAAAATCGAGAATCGAAATGCAAAAATGAAGAACCGAATATTACATACCAAGAAACGGAACCAATTCACATATATAAACATATAAAACATGCATATTTCACATATATAGTCGGTTCATCGGTTAATAAACATAAATTTGGACTGGAACCAAAACCAAACCGGTTTGTGCAAAAAAAAAAAAAAAAAAAAAAACCCGGAACAAAAAAATATGTTTCTTTTTTTAAAATAATCGCACCGAATGGGTTATTTTTTAATCGGTCCGATTCAGTTCTTCAGTTCTCAGGTATAAAATCCCACCCCTATTGAAAAGGCTCCAATGAGAATAAATGGACAAACGGCCCGACCTGTTAGTTCTAGTTCGGGCCTACGGGTCACCAACAAATGTTTTATAGAGTCTAGGATTTGTGAGTACTCCGATTATTTTATGAATTAGTTTTATTTATTCATTCTGGACTATCATTCGTTTATCAATTTCTTGTGCTTATATTAAATGTGTGAATATAGGTCTCGTACCTGTGCATATTTGTGATTGACTTCAGTTCACCTCTCGCTATAACCTTTCTTGTGTCCCCATCTTCCAAACAACATCCCTCAGAAGTGAAGCTATATCTTAACTGTGAAGTGTTACACGCTTGTGTAACTGACAACTGGTTATACTTGAAGGAATGGACAAATAAAACTCCATGTAGAATAAGATCTTTTGATATGATGACCTCTCCAACCTGTGTAACCATCTTGGTGGTTCCATCTGGCAAATATACTGTAATTGGCATTGTCAAAGATGTGACATTTTCCATCAATTATCTATTTGTACACATATGTCTGCTTGCTCCTGTGTCAATAACCCAAGCACCTCCATTTAATTCCTCAAACATGGACAAAATGCCTTTCCTTTTTGTCTTCATTGACTACAAAATTCACATATTGTTCTTCGTCTTTGTAAGGCTTCCCTTTCTCAGCCTCATGTGGATATTTCCCTAGTAGCTTAAACTTCCTGTGCCAATGTGGCAATGTCTGTCATTGGATTGATCCCAGCACTTTGTGGCTTAAAACCTCCATCAGTTTGCACCATATTCACTTTACCCTTTGGCCTTTTATCTCTTGCTTCCTTAAACCATTCAGGAAATCCATACAATTTAAAACATGTGGTCTTATCATGTCCATTCTTACCACAATGTTCACATAGCAGCTTGGATTTTTCTTCCTTAGTGAGTCTTGGCCCTTCTCTCCCCATCCTTTGATTGTATAATTGTGGTCTAATTTCCTTTCCACCACCATTATATCTGACTGCCATAGCCACACTTGAATTCAGGTCTCCTGAAGTGGAGTGAACAAATCTTTGTCTCTTTGCAGATAAGACCATGGAATATGCTCTATTTACTGTTGGCAAAGGATCCATTAGTAGCAGCTGATTTTTGACATGATCAAAACTATCATTTAGTCCCATTAGGAACTGCATCAGTTTAGTTTGCATGTTTTGCTCCAGAACAGCTTTCCCAATCTCACAATTGCAGGTCAGGTTTGGCATTAGGCATCCTAACTCGTCCCACATCTTTTTGAGTTTGTTAAAATAAGCCATAACCGACTCATTTCCCTGCTTCAAACTGGCAATATCTCTTGGCAACTGGTATATCAATGGCTCATTGCTTTCTCCAAACTGTGACATATTTTATCCCAAAGTTCTTTTGCCGATTCAACATAGATAAAAGCATCAACTATCTCCTTTGACATCGAGTTTAAAATCCATGAAATGACCATCCAATCAACTTTTCTCAATTTTTGAAAATTCACATAATTTCTCTCAGGCATTGTAACAGATCCATTCCAAGCCAGGAAATTGGATCCATTCAGTCGATGTGATACGAGCTGCATACTTGTATTATCGGATGTACTTAGAGAAAGAGGATAGTCATTCGCCTCTGAACTATTTCCAGCTCGTGCATTGACCAGTGGCCATGCTTCATTTCGATTCCACGCCATTGCTGATGAGCTGAGCTTCGATTTCTATAGATCGTCACTTGCTCTGGATGCCATGTAAAATATCAGAGTATTTGATCGAAGATATTTTCATTTCATACTGAATTTGTTCATACAACATGCATTTAATGCCAACATGAAAAAGGAAACGACGTCGTCTAACAATCAATCTCATACGACGTCATTTGAACTTAATTACAAGAGAAAGATAAAACGCATCATTACTAATAAAAGTGCAACAAAATATTTTTCGCGATAATTTTTGGATAATATTTTTTTTTTTTTTTTTTCAAACGATGATTTTTATTGTAGCAAAATAATTACAAAGGGAAGAAATCCCCAGGATTTACCAACACTACCAGGGCAAACAAAAACTAGCTCCCAAAACAAATGACCGAGTCTTCAAACAAAGCAAAAGAACACAAAAATGGCCAACTAAAAAAGAACTGAAACCCAAGCCACAAGAGACCCTTACTGCAAGAAGGAACCAACTATACTTGCAAACCCTCAGCCAGAAATCATACCATCCACCACCAAGTAAGAAGAACCTGAGATTTACTGGATGCCACTCGGGTCCCTTGTCAATGTCAATCAAGTTGCACACTTAGTTTGGAATAAAATTCATTAAATATATTCATAATTAAGATTAGTTAAGTTTATAATTTGAAAAGTATTAAAGCCAACTAGTGCGTGGCCCGTGCGATGCACGGGAAAAAAATATTACGATTGTAATATAAATTAAATATATAAATAACATTAATCATGATTCATTTATCCATTGTTTTTAACTTAAACCGGGTTGGACACAGTCCGGCCGGATGCACCGAGAACCGGTTTATAACCAGTCTAGTTCGCTCGAATAAAATATTGACTCTCGAATATGTCAATACCAGTCAGTTGGACTGGTAGGATCGATACGATTTTCTAAATAAATTTTGATATATTTAAAATTATTTTAAATAAAATTAAATATTTAAATAAAATAGAGATTTCTACATTATTTATTAATTAGTTTAAACATTTGAATTTATAAATTGTTTAGATATCTAAGTAACACATTTTATTTAAATTTGTTACAAAAAGTACTATATATATATATATCTATTAAAATGTTTATAAATTAAAATCTGAACAAACCACAAATAATTTAATAAAATAGCTTGATCGTTTCGATGATGGTCCAGTTCTAAAAACCTTATATTTACTGTACATTAATAAATATTATAATAAAATATTATTTAATTCACATAAATATTAATAAAATGATATATAAGTATTCATAAATCATTAAACACCTTGTCATCAAAGTATTGTTAATACGATTATTTGAAGTTTGGACTACATCACATTCACGTAATAAAATATTTTCAATATAAAATTTATATTTAGGTTCAATAATTGATTTGGTGTGGTCGAACTGATACATAACTTAGTCACCTGGGACCAACCATATTGTGTCAAATTTTTTGACTATCTTAAATATCACCTAAAAGTAATTCAATCAACCTGGACAGTAACCTAATTCAATCACCCGATTGATCTGAAGAAATTTTCTTATTTTCTTAAATATACTTTATGCATATTAATAAAAAATAAACATAGTAACTTTAAAAAAATTAAGATTAATTGATTGATTATGCAACTTAAGAATATTTTTAGCGTTCAATATATTTTTTTAAAGGCACAAATATAAAGACCGAGATTCTAAAAGAATTGTTATATTTTGAATTGAGATTTTATAAATATAGAGACGGAGATTTTAATGTTGTTCGTTATTTCTAAGAAAAAAATAAAAAGAAAAATATACACACTTAATAAATCTTAGCCGAATTTTTTAAATAATAAAATGAACTAAAACCCGAAGTTTAAGGTAGAATTTAATGTTGTATGATATATAAAGAAAAAAAAATAATAAAAATAATAAAACTTATTATTTATAAGCTGCATTAAATTCTGACATTTTTTTTTTGCTACTATTTTTGGTAAATGATAATTATTATCTATATTTATATAAAAAGGGATTCTATTTACTACAAATAGTATCCAGAAAAGTCAACTGCAATTAATGCTATTACTATTTTCAGCATGTATTTTATTTAATTATTTTATATCTATACTTATATTAAAAGGTATACCATTTACCAGATTTAGTATAAAGAAAAGTCAACAACATTTATTGCATTACTACTTCCGTATTATACAATCTATATCTATATAAAAGGAGATTCTATTTACTACATTTACTATCCAGAAAAGTCAACTGCAATAAATGTCATTACTATTTTGGTATTATAATATTTTATTTATTTAATTGATTTATTTATTTGTTTTATTTTAAAAAGGTAAGTATAATAAAAAGATTTTAATAATAAAAAAAATCAAATACCAAATAAAAATGTACACTTTGACTTATTTGATTATATTTGGTATTTGATTATACCAAATATATTCTTATTTAGTATATACATTAAATACTTACTAAAGTATTTATTTATTTTATTTGTCAAAGTTAAGTATAGATTTGTTTATATTATCAAATCACAAAAAAAATATTAAATCCATATTGTAAAAAAAAATCATATAATTTTGTAACAATTCTACTACACTATTTAACAATATTTCTTTTTTATTATATAATAAAATAATAATTAAATATTATATGGTGAACAAAAATAAGTAAAACTGTTACTTTCTCTTATATCAATGGATAAATTTATATGCTAAAATTAAATTTTTATTAGTATAAATGTTTTAGTGAGATAATATATTAATTATTTTACAAACTAGCCCTAACATGCTCATATTTAATGTTTTAAAAGATGTAGAAAAAAAAATTATAATAACTCTATTTTTTTAGACTTAAACGTTGATTAAAAGAGCTAAAAATTCTTAATTTTTTAGACTTAAACGTTGATTAACACCATAGATTGAGAGTTTATATTTAGTAAAATTCCTAATTGTAATTAAAAAATTAATTTTTGCTATATTTTAGAATATCTTTAAATTCATTATAAATAAAAACTACAATGAAAAAAGCAAGTCAGTTATATATCGATTTGTTGTACTCCTCAAATCACATTCACAATTTGACTACAAGGAAAGGAAACTCATTGATTAAAATATTATTTTGTCAGTAGTTTTAATGTACAAGAGACTTTAAGACTCCACTTGAAATTTATAAAACTTTTATGGATCATTGTACAATTTTCTTGCTTATTATAAACTTTTATTGAATATTATATCTTATAATATAATATTTTCCAAATAAATATATCTCGTGCTTCGCAAAGGTCACGTACGATATATATTCCGTACATTTTTCTTTCTTTATGTATATAATTATAAATTTGGATAAATAGCCTTAAAATTGTGCACCCATCGCACGGCCTCTGTACTAGTTATATATATATATACAGAGAATGACACTATATAAGAGCCTCGCCGATTCCCCCGATGATATTATCCGTGTGACGGTTAGCGAAGCGCGACAAAAATGGCGGTGGAGAGCTGCGGTGACATACTCGCTCTGCCGGAGCACTGCATTGCCAACCTCCTCTCGCTCACAAGCCCTAGAGACGCTTGCCGGCTGTCAGCGGTCGCATCCACCTTCCGCCTCGCCACACAGTACGACACCGTTTGGGATCGCTTCCTGCCCTCGGATTACCGCGATCTGTTGTCCCGGGCCGACGGCGGAGCCGAGCCCTTGATATCTAAATTCCGTTCGAAGAAAGACCTCTATCTCCACCTATGTGACCATCCGATTCTCATCGACGGTGGGCGTAAGGTCGGTTTATTGCTTTTTGATCTTCAATTATTTTTTCTGTCGAATATAGATACGAATTGGGAGTGTGAAGTGGTTTGATTGTTCCCGTGATTGTTTGGTGGGTTCAGATATGTGCTGTCGAAATTGTTACATTACGATTTAGTTTGAATTTGTGCCTGATACTATGAATGTATATGTTTGCGGATCCTTTCCAAATCTGATGGTTTTTTGTTAGTTTTACGTTGAGACGATTAGCACACATTTGGTTGTGTATTTCGTAGTTTTAATTATCAGTTTACATGTTCATGAAGATTGAAGCATATTCGGTGTTTGTTTGTTTGAACTGCATATAGAGTATTTCAGAGAAAAACTCGGTGTTTCAACTTTCGAACGTAAGAACAATTGTGGCTGAGGTTGTAGATTTCATCAAATTCCATGTGATTGGAGGTTATCTGTAGCATCATGTCATTCCTAGTGTACATGATTCGGAACTATTTGCTCGGCAAAGATATATATGTTATGTGTTGGAATCTAAATTTTCCATGAAGTCTCATATATAGAAGTGAAATAAAAGCGAAAAATTGAACACACAAAATTGATAACAGAGTTCGGCCAATAATGCCTACGTCTCCGGACTAGTGTAGATATTTTATTAGGAGAAAATAAATGCACTCGTGTTTACAAAAACTCTCAAACTCACTCACAACTCACAACCCACACACAGAAGCTAAGATATTCTGCTTCTTACTCACTTTCTTCTTTTTTTTTCTATTTATAGATGCAAAAATGCATCAAATTTCAAAGAAAGCATGCTACTCCATTTTCAACATTGGTGGCATTGGTCTATTTTCATCATTATGACTATCTGTCTAGTCATCTTACTTTGCCTTTTCATTGGATATCTCTTGATAAGTTGTACCTTGTATATCACTAGTACAATTTACCCTACGACTCTGGGAGCTCACGAGTTCTAATTTTTATATTGGCTTCTGTTGAGTCTAAAAAACATCGGCACCATTGCTTTCTTTCCTTTGACGATGGTTCTTGGGCATGGAAAGTGTGCAGCTCGATAGGTCTCTATTGAAGATTATCATGCCATTCCTAATGTACAGGGCTCTGAATTCTTTGCTTGAAAAATGTATATATGTTATGACAATCTGTATAATCATCTTATTTTGCCTCGTTTATTTCTTGACAGAGCTTTTCATTGGAGAAATGCAGTGGAAAGAAATGCTTCATGATAGCTGCAAGAGATCTCGATATTGCATGGAGCAATACTCCTCAATATTGGCGATGGATATCTCTTCCTGAATCTAGGTAATCTACAAATGAATCGTGGCAGCTTTCTGTTAGTCTGTAAGGGTCTTGCCGCCTAAGATAATACGCAAAAACACTCCCAATTCAAAATAAACACCCCATTTTCGTACTGAAAGTTCTCATTTGAAACATGTTTTGATTCGGGTTTCTTCAAATGGCTGTGTCTGTTTGCTTCAGGTTTTTTGAGGTGGCAGAGCTTCTCCACTTGTGCTGGTTTCATATACGTGGCAAAATCAGCACCAAGATGCTGTCCTCTGGCACGTGTTATGTGGCATACCTAGTGTTTGCTCGCAAATCAGGGGCCTTCAAATTCGACCTCCCAGCCGAGGCTTGTGTGGAGTTGAGTTCCCAGGAGAGTGAAAGGCAGAAAGTGTTTCTAGGTCGGGACAGAGCCCACGGGTCGTCTTACCGTCGATTGCCTCGTTTGGTGAGACAACAACAGACGGTGGAGGATGTGGTGGCCGAGTTTAATGCTAAGTACCCTAAACCGAGGAGTGATGGGTGGATAGAGGTTGAGTTGGGAGAGTATTTTGTCGAGGGAAGAGAAGATGATGTCTTGGAGTTGGGCCTCAGGGAGGTGAACGACTATCATGGGAAAAGCGGCTTAATTGTTCAGGGGATTGAGCTCAGGCCCAAGGCCATGGGTGGAGACTCGAAAAAGAATTTTGTCTAGAGCAGATGTAAGTTTACTTTTTTTGTTTAATTTGTGTTGATGCCTTGATGGTTATGGTTTTGGATTCTGTTATTGCACCGGTTTTGATCTATGTCATAAAGATTCTTAATCCAGATTTTTAATGTTTTGTTAGATATAGTGTATTTTGGACGGGTAAATATGCGAACCTGGTACAATCCGATTATTACTGTCAGCTCGGATTATGGCTTCCTGGCTTTGTTCACCTCCTCTGCAAACCCTGTCTTTCATGAATTTCACAGAATCAAAGGGGTGAAATCGGTACACATTTACCGGTGATTGGAGGGGGAAATTCAGTCAGGGATAGGGTTGTTATCGAACCGAGCTTAAAGTTTTCGAGCTCGAGTTCGACTAATATGTTCGTGTTTTGTTTAGTAATCGAACAAAAAATTTCGTTCGTGTTCGTTCGTTTATTGGTTCGACAAGTTCGTGTTCATTTGTTTATAGAGTCGAACTTGTTTGTGAACTGTTCGGTCTTCGAATTGTTCGACAAGTTCGTGTTCGTGTTTGTTGATTTTTTTTATATATATTATATTTGTCTAACTCAAGATTTATTTTAAGGAAACAAATGAAAAAAATTAAATGAAAATCAAAGTTATCATTTTACCTCACTAACATAATCATCATTTCTCAACTGATCATTTAGAGCGCGATTGGATATGAATCCAACCGGTTATGATCCAATTTAGTTGGTTAAAGTGAGTTATTTTGAATAAAATTAGTTGAGTGGATAATTTAAGTTTGTAATATAATAATAATTTAAATGTAATGAAGTGATAGATAGTTAAAATTATGTGAGTTATTTTGCCCAGGCATCACTAACTTTTGGGCTTAGAAAGAGAAGACCTGTAAATCTTGTGAGGATGATTGATCAATATTATTTAATTATATCTATATATATATAATTGCTAGCGAATCTCATTTAATAAAACATTTAATAAAAATATTTTCACTTTCCCTCCAAAAGGGGTTACATTTTTCTTAATTAATTACTCATTAATCTCACATTTAAGAAGGTTTTTTATAGTTAAATTTAATTAGTTAATGACTAAATTAAAAAGATTTATTTTAATTAATCCCACATTTATGTTAAGTATAGTATTATCTTAATATCTTATCAGTTTTTTAAAAAAATAGTAACTTTTTTCAATAAATTTTATAAAAATTAGTCAAATGTGCTTATATTCATATAAATCAGAAAAAAAAATTAAATCTTAGATATATAAAAAGAACATCGTTGAAATAACTTGAATCCGCAAGGGTAATTCTATACTCATTATCAATTACTTTAATTTTTTTGTTTATATTAAAAATTAATATTATATTTACTCATTTATATTTAGATGATATCTTTTTTATTAAGAAGCAAGGACAATCTCTATCAATCAATAAGAGTCAAGGACAAACAATATAAAGAAGTGTTTCCTATGTTATGACATGATCAATAAGAGTCAAAGACAGTCTCTGTCGCACGTCGGCTTACTACTGAAGAGCTCTGCATTTAGTCATGAGCAATTATACGTGGCGCTTTTTAGAGTTACGAGTCAGTGGGGTTTGAAGATTTTGATTTGAGCTGAGGGAGATTTTGACGATAGAAAAACCACGACGTTGTTTTATAAAGAAGTGTTTAAGAATATTTATATTTTTTTTCTTAATTTTTTTCAATGAATTTGTTATGATTTTTACTATTGTTTATAATTTTTATTATTTTTTCATGTATCATATAGTTTTCCGTGCAAATGCACGGGACAAAAACTAGTTTATATAAAGTTGGAGAGTTGGGTTGAACTGTGTTTTAAATGTGGTGATAGTTAAATAAATAAGTTGATCGGTCAAAACTCAAAAACTGATTAAAATCAGTTATGATCAGTTTAACAAGTTTATTCACAACCTTTTCCATTATCTAGTAATTAAGTCACTAGTCGGCCGTTTGGATGTACAGAATGAGACTGATATCCAGCCTAACCAGCCCATCTCGCGATGACGTGTCCCGCATTGAAAACCAACTTTTGGGCAACCAAAAGTTTGGGTATCAGCTTTGTTAAGCACTTCTCAGTTCCTATGCAACTTCTGCTTTTCTTCTTTGGCTTTCCACTTAAAAGCCCAGCTCTTTATTGTTTACTTATGCATGTTTTGACCTCTTTTTCCTGTGGCATAAGTGAACAAAAGAAAGCAGTTATATGCTATTAAGCTATACAGCCATAGCTTATATGTAGAAGACTTGATTGTTAAGTTTTCATAAAATACGTACACCCCTTCAAAACCTAACTTAGCACTTAAGACAACGAGTTGGATACAAATATGACGTTCATGCATGTCAAATATAGCAAATTAAATACAAATTTTTGTGTGTGGAGTGGAGTAACTGTTACGCGGTTGACCCGTTATACTTTTAAATAAAAATACATATATTTATAATTATAATAAAATATCATACTTTTGTTTATGTTATATTTTAGAGTATGACATTCATGAAAGAACTTATATTTATTAAAAAAATAATTGACCAATCATTAAATCCTTGTAACAACAACCTTAGGAAAAATTGCACTATTCGTCCACTAGTCTAGTTGCACTTTCGTCCTTTAATTGTTTATTTTTTATTTTTGGTACACTAAAATTTTTTTTTTTGGTAATTTTAGTCCAAATCGATATTCCGGTGCTCATTTTGCCGGAAAAGCTGACGTGGCGCCTAGTCAAATCTAATTTTTTATTCCCAGCGTGATGTGGCACGATACATAGCCAAGTGTTTGGACACATGGAACAAAATAATTAAAAAAATAAAAAAATAAAAAGAAAATGTTAAAAAATCCATGTGGAAAAACAAAAAAAAAAAAAGAAAAGGGGAAATCTCATCCCCATCAGAAAGCACATAGACGGACGAAGGTTGCAAGAGCAGATTCGGTGCATCAATTCCTTGCCAATGGCTCGCTTCGAAAAAAAGAACATAGTGTTAGTGTTATATACTGAAAGCTTGGCTTTGCATGTTATTACACATTTACCCTTTATGAATGAGAATCATGTTAGATTAAACAAGTTCTACGTTCTGTTGTTCTGCACTTAGATAGGGTGGGTCGTCATCGGGCGAACCGAAGATCACTCTGTCAGTCACTTGCGAACAAGAATAGTTGTTCACAACCTAGATGGACATGAACACCCCATCCGAACGGTTGTAGTGTCAACTGTACAGTTTGTCTTGACTGATTAGTTGCACTAGTACATTTATGTATTGAACAGGATCCCAGAGAGGAGAAGTTCATTTTATACTGATCGTCGTAAATGAACTAGGCCTCGGTTAATTACTGCGTTCTCTTAACCCGTAAGATATTAAACAGGCAGATATATATAATATATATTACTTTGATTCACATGGGTGAGGTTCAGTTCGCTGGATTAATATTCCTACTGTTTTGGGTAATATTATTATATATAGGATGTGCTGTTAGGATATTTACGGTCACCATGTGCGTTAGTTTGATGATGTCCCCGGAGTGAGTTCATGAAGGATTGTTATGCTAAACCCTGCAGGTGGATTAAATTCCGGCATAATAAGAATGTGATGAACGAGCGCTAGCTTCGGTGAAATAATAATAAATTAATTAATTCTTGATTGTCAGTAATCGAATTAATTAATGGACATTATATCTTAAACGTGGGGAGGTAAATCGAGTAATTATTATTGGAGTCTCAAATGTAATTTGGGCTAGGGAAAGGGAGTGCAATAATATAATGTTGGTGGCCCATTAATATTATTTAATTAATTAGAGGAGTGGGTTTGGCCCACAGTTAGTCTAATTAATTAAGGAGCCCTTTTCCTAATCTCCTTAGGGTCCCTACTGTAGCTCTATATATACATCATTAAGCTCATGAGAAGAGAATAGAAGTCTCATTCTCACGTGAAACCATCTCTCTCTCTAGATCTCATTCGAGCTTTATCTTCTTCTTGTTGCTCCACTGGTACAAGTTGAAGAAGGGTGTATTGAGTAATACAGTAGAAGATCTGTAGGTAAACAGAGACGAAATTGATTTTGACCTACAGAACTAACCAGAAGTCCGATTGAGACGTACAGTATACCCAGACGACCGTCTCGACGAGAGCTTTCCATCGCCGCCGACGTCGCCGGAATCCGACGCCGCACGCGCCGTCACGCGCCGCCGGAAGGAGTCTGGCAGCAAAATTTCGTTTTGATCTGTTTGCATCCGTTTGATCCAGTTTTGATCTGATCTTGTTCGTGCAACCCAAGACGCGTGTTGCGGTCAATCAATTGCGGTCAACCGTTCGTGGTCAACCAGATCTACATAAATTTTAAGCCGTAAGTTCTCTACGTCAAACCTTTAGATCCGCTGCGCATAGGTTTACGTTTGCTATTGAATTCGTGATTTGTACATAACGAGATCCTCACAGATCCCAACACATAGGACCTGATCTCTTCGAAGGAGATTGTTAATACGATATACTGGGATTTGGCCCAACTTCTAGTCCACCGGGGCAGTTCTCTTATGGGCTCGCCTAGGAATCGAACCCCAAGCTTGTCGGAAAATCACCTCCGACCAAAGCTCGAACTCGGTCCGTCGGGGAATTCGAATACGATTCGATTTCACCGGAGTTTCAGAAAAATTGGGAGTCCTCCAGAGAATATCAAATCCCAAAATTGGGAGTCTCCGGTAGGTCTCCGAAGAACGCGATCTTGTATATCGCCGCCGCCGAGTCTTTCATCTCAGGCCAGGGCCCGAATCCGGTGCCCATTTCAACGACCCTGCAGCCAAAATTTTTTTTTTTCTTTTTGTGTAATCCCTAATCCCGCCGGGTCCTTCAATCCCAAATCCCTTTATCCATTTTTTTTTCTTTTTGTTTTTGTTTAATGATTTTAATCCATGTGTCTTCACATGTTGATTTTTGTAACATTTTTTATTTTTTTTAAATTTTTTAATATTATTTTGTTCCACGTGTCCAAACACATGGGCCCATCTCATGCCACATCACACCGGGAATAAAAAATGAGATCTGACTAGGCGCCACGTAAGCTTTTCCGGCAAAATGAGCACCAGAATGTCGATTTGGACTAAAATTACCCAAAAAAAAAATGTAAGTGTACCAAAAGTAAAAAATAAACAATTAAAGGACGAAAGTGCAACTAGACTATAGTTAGTGGATGAATAGTGCAATTTTTCCACAACCTTATTATAGATTGCAAAAAGACCTAAGCACATGTCACTTAGCTTTTATTTAGAAAATGCGTACACTGTTGTTATGGTTAAATCATTTACATTATTTTTAAACTATAAAGTACAATATGATATTATCAGTTGTTTAAGTTTTGAAAGCAAAATTGTAGTAATTTATTGATATATTTAAATAATATATAACATTTGGACTCTAAACATTACTACAAGATTACATAATTTACATATAATATAATGCAAATAACTAAGCTTAATTAACAAGATAAAAGTATCAAGTAAAATAATGAGTCGACTAATTCGACCAATTTTCATTTCTAGACAGTTTTACTCAGTGTTTTGAGACCCAGACCGGCCCGGCGGGTCGACCCGGAGCCGGAACCGATCCGGGTGGAGTATTTAGACCGGGCAACCAAGGACCCGGTCAAACCCGGTCAAAACCCGACCGACCCAGCAAAGACCCGGCCGACCTGGGGCATTGACCCGGCCGGGTCAACCCGGTTGACTCGGTCCATATATATTTTTTATATTTTTTTTTTTTGTTTTTTAAAAATAAAAATATGCATATATGTTTATATGGTAAATATTATCATGAAATACATATTATTAACACTTTAATATACAAATTTTATACACAAAATATTTAATTTGTTACTTTTATGTATATTTATATAACAAAAATACTCTATATATAATTTTAAAAATTTTTAAATTAATTATCCGGTTCAGCAATTGACTCGGTGACCCGACGGTTGAACCGGTGACCCGAGGACCTGCCCGGGTCGATCACCGGGCCGGGTTTAAAAACTATGGTTTTACTAAAGGGAAATGTGATTTCATTCATATTTCCGAGTAAAAAATAAAGAAGTAAATAAATAAATCCTTAGATCTATATTTTATCATCGGCAAATGTGATTTCATTCATATTTCCGAGTAAAAAATAAAGAAGTAAATAAATAAATCCTTAGATCTATATTTTATTATCGGCAAAAATTCAAAATTGGTCTTATAACTTGACCACTGTTTAAAAAACCACCCCGATATTGACCACTTTCAATTTTGGTCCCTTTTTATCCACACCCTGGATTAAAAAGTGACGTGACATGAAAAAAGGACCAAAATTAATGAAATCGACAAATTATAGGACCAATCTTAACGTACCACGTAGATCATAATCACCCCATGTAACATTAAAAAACTGACACGTCATGCCACATCACTTTTTAATCCAAAGTGCGGATAAAAAGGAGCAAAATTGATGAAATCAATAAATTATAGGACCTAAATTGAAAGTGGTCAATATCGGGGTAGTTTTTGGACAATGACCAAATTATAGGACCAATTTTGAAATTTTGACTTTTATTTACTTTCTCGTTAAGAGTTCCAAAGATGAATATTCCACACGTATCAAAATACAGTCACATTATATAAACGGCCCCGCCAATTGCCATATTATCTGTGTGACGATTTTGCGAAGATCGACGAAAATGGCGGTGGAGAGCTGCGGTGACATACACGCGCTGCCGGAGGACTGCATTGCCAACGCCCTTTCGCTCACAAGCCCTAAGGACGCCTGCCGGCTGTCGGCGGTCGCGTCCAACTTCCGCATCGCCTCCGAGTACGACACCGTTTGGGATCGCTTCCTGCCCTCGGATTATCGCGATCTGATATCCCGGGCCGCCGGCGGGCCCGAGCCCTTGCTTTCTAAGTTCCGGTCGAAGAAGGACCTCTATCTCCACCTCTGTGACCATCCAATTCTCATCGACGGTGGGCGTAAGGTCGGTTTATAGCTTTCTTTATTTTTTTAATCTCCAATTATTTTCCGTCGCATATAGATATGAACTGGGAATGTGAACTGGTTTGATTGTTCCCGTCATTAATTTGCTGGATTCTGATTTGTGCTGTTGAAATTGTTACGTGTGCGATTAAGTTATGAGTGTATATGTTTGCGGATGCTTATCGTCATTTTGGTTTTCAGTTCACATGTTCATGAAGATTGAAGCATATTCGATTTTTGTTTGTTTGGATTGGATAAAATATGTCAAGAGAAAAACTTGGCGTTTGGGAAGCTAAGACTATCATGGCCATGAGATTGTTGATTGCGTCAAATTGCATGTGATCCAACAGACAGATTGAAATCCAAAACACTGGTTGAGAGAAACTGTGTGCATAATTGGCCCTTCTCTTGATAATTAGTTGTACCTTTTAGATCACTAGTACAACGTACATACAATTTACCTTACGAATGTGGGAGCTCACGAGTTCTCATATTTATATTGGTTTCTGTTGATTTTCCTTTTGATCCTTTGAATATTGTTATTGGGCATGGAAAGCGTGAAGCTCGACAGTTCTCTATTGAAGGTTATCTTATCTATATCCTCGTGTCAGTCATAATGTACAGGGTTTTGAATTAGTTTCTTGGAAAATGTATATATTATCACAAAATCTGTCTGATCATCTTATTTTCCCTTGTTTATTGCTTAACAGAGCTTTTCGTTGGAGAAATGTAGTGGAAAGAAATGCTACATGATAGCAGCAAGAGATCTCTATATTGTATGGAGCGATACTCCTCAATATTGGCGATGGATATCTCTTCCCGAGTCTAGGTAATTTGAGCCTCCTTCTATCCTGGTAGCTTCGTTTAATTAGTCAGGGTCTTACCACAATATCCGGCCTAGGGTCGCAAACGAGTCGATCATGGCTTGTCCATGAAAATGACGCTCGAGCTCGACTTGCGAAACAAATGGAAATGCTCGAGATCGACTTGAGTTCGGCTCGAATTTTAACAACTATAAATTATGCACCTATGACAAATTTTGTGAATTACATATATATAAAAGTAAGTTTACCGCATATTTCGAGCGGGTCGACCTTTGAAAATTTGGGCTCGAGATCGACTCAATAACATAATCGAGCCACTCGAGCTCGACTCAAGTTCGGTCAAACTCGAGCTTTGACTCGAGCGCTCGCGAGTAGCTCGTTGGCCGCTCGACTCGTTTGTAGCTCTAGTCGTCCATTCTGTTGTACAATAAAACACACACAAAAAAAAAAAAGAAAAAAAGAAAAAAAAAATCCTCAATTCGAAATAAATCCCCATTTTCGGACTAGAGTTGTCATTGGAAACCGTGCTAACTCAGTCTGTTTGCTTCAGGTTCTCTGAAGTGGCAGAGCTTCTCAATGTGTGCTGGTTTGAGATACGTGGCAAAATCAGCACCAAGATGCTGTCTCGGGGCACGTGCTACACAGCATACTTAGTTTTTGCTCGCAAATCGGGGGCTTATGGATTCGACCACCCGTCCGAGGCTTTTGTGGAGTTAAACGGCCATGCTAGTGAAAAGCGCAGAGTTTTTCTTGATCGGGATGAATCTCATGAACCGAGAAGGCACATTGTGCTCAGGACCTTGGGTTTGTTTTACCATCGTTTGCCTCGTCTGGTGAGACAACAACAGACAGTGGAGGATGATTCGGAGGCTGAGTCCAATGCTAAGTACCCGAAACAAAGGAGTGATGGGTGGATTGAGGTTGAATTGGGAGAGTATTTTGTTGAGGGAAGAGAAGATGGTGATTTGGAGTTGGGCGTGATGGAAGTGAATGATGGTAACTGGAAAAGTGGTTTGATTGTTCAGGGGATTGAGCTCAGGCCAAAGGCTGTGACCAGTTAAGTTGGTCGAGACTCTGAAAGAGTTTTGTATGAAGGCTTTGTGGATGCATGAGATGTAAGTTTGCTTGCTTTGTTTAGTTTATGTTGATAGGTTATAGTTCTTGATTCTGTTGTTGTACTGATTTTTGGCAACAAGGTTTTCCTTTCCATCTCTGTCAGGTTTATCGGTTCTTTGTTTTGTAAGTTCTCTGGTTTTGATCTATGTCAAAAAGGTTGGCGAACCAGATTTTTAAGGTTTTCTTAAAATTCGTTTACTAGAAATATGTGAAATATGAATATAGTTATGTTTTGATCATACGTTATGTATTGGCATTCATGTGGCTCTTTATTTGACTTGTTTCATTTCATTTAAACTGAACTTTTCAAACAAAATGTAATTTTCTTTACTCTACATCTTCGGCCGACTTCGTCTCGGCCCGTTTTCTCAAGTTCATATTTTTCATAACCGACCATCCTCAATATTATCAAATATTGAATTCTATTATATATTGAATTATATTATATATGAACTCGTCAACATCATAGGCATTTTATCGAACACCTTACATGTGTAAAATAAAAAATACAATTAAGTCCATCACACGAGTAAAATATACAGATTATGTTTAGTAAAACTACCTGATAGCTAAGTAATTTTTTAGCTTATAGTTGAAAAAGCTAGCTTATATAATAAAAGTATTTAGTAAAGTTAGCTCATAAACTAGCTGAAATAAAAATTTCAACGAGCTAATTTGAAAATCTATTCATAGAATCTTGTGAGATAAGTTTGAACTTTTTAACAAAGTTGGTCATACCAAATGAAACTTATTTGAATATAGGAAACTTGTGTTATGCTTGGTAAAACTAGGTTGCTAGCTGATAGTTGATAAGTTAGCTTATAGCTTATAAGTGATTTTTAAATTTATAAATTATAGCATATGAATTATAAAATTAACTGATTTATAAATTATAGCATATGAATTATAAAATTAACTGATAAAATAACTGAAATAAAATTTTGAACGAACTTATTTGAAAAGTTAACCACATGACACACAATAAACTAAAAAAATGACCCTTTTTATTCATTAAGATCACAAAACTTTTATATCAACTTTTAATTCTATAACAATTCAATAATAATAATAATAAATGAAAATAGCCGTTTTTATGCGTTTCTTTTCCGCCAATCGAACTCGACCGTTAGAACAGCACACGAGAGATTCAGTGCTCCACTCCACTGACTATCCGTTGCACCACAAAAATTGAGTTCTCATTACAAGTTGGACTTCATCTCCACTTTCATCTGACATTTCGACAAAACCACAAAACACACAACTCTCACGTACTTTACCGTTTTTTTTCCTTTTTTTCCTTTTTATTTTCCTTTTCCATTTTTGTTCTTAAAATGGTTGCAAGAACCCCACCAAAGCTGCAGAGGAAGAAAATGGCGGCTGTTACTCCGCACCTCAGCCCCACTCTCCTCAGAGAAACTGTTAAGAAGGTGAAGAAATTCACTCTGGTTATAATTTTCCTTGTGAATTTTCCCCCATTTTTTATTGGTGAAATGAAAATTAGGACAAATTCTTGATTAAAAAAAATGGCTGGTTGGGTGGTATTTGCCTCACAATCTTATCATTTCCTGTTTCTTAATATACTGGCATATTCTTCGTAGTTCTTACCAAATTTCAAAATCTAAAAGAGAGAAGGAAAAAAAAAGTGAAAATTTTAGATTTTGTGGCATTTAGGGTTTAGGGCCATCGGGCCGATCGTGCCCTCTGAAGAAGATTTATGTGAATATAATTATGATTGATTCTTATTTCTAATGTGTGTTTTTTTTTTCTTTTTCTTTTTTTTNTGTTTGGTGTGTATGTGTGTGTTTAGGTGGATAAGTGTATGGCTCGATTGCAAGAGCTTCAACACACGGTAAAAGGCGGGTCGAAAGTGATTTCCGGTGTGAGTTTGAGCCCACGGAGAAATTATAACCGAACGAATGTCCCGGCTTTCAAACACGACTCATTGAGGTATTTATTTCATCTCATTTTCCCTCCTCAATTCCAAAATATGTTTATCTAGTAGAGAAGAATATAGTGGTCAAAATCAAATTGTAGTCATTAAGCCGATGTGTGAGATTTATAAGACTCATTCATCTAACTCTTGTTCTGTTATTACTTTTCCTTAAGGATAAGAAACACTAATCCACGAAAATCGTCCCCTCCCGGAAAGCTACCGCAAGTAAACACAGGTTAGTTATTCTCGTCCGAACCTTTCCAGCTTAGAATGTCACAAATGTTCTTCATATGTGTGTGTTTGTATATAATGGTGTGTGATGGATCGACTGGTTTTTAATGTGAACTTTCAGAGGATTGGCGAAGAATGTCATTGCCAGCAATGCTGTTGGGCGAGACACTGAGTGAACTCGTTCAATCAACTCAGTTTGCACGAACCATTGTGCAATCAGCAGCAATAATAATCCCTTCAACTCCTCCCCTGAAGAGAAAACCTCCTATGCAGAACAAGAATCTAGAGGACACGTGGCAGACAATGCATTCGCGGAGGAAGAGAGAGAAGCAAACAATGCGTGTGGGTCCCGGTACTTGGAAATCCAAAATAAACTTGAAGAAAAGTTCTTCTTCTTCTTCTTCTTCTTCTTCTTCTTCTCCTTTGTACAAAGAGTGTGAGAAAGAAAATTGTAGGTATGTAATATCAGCCAATAGGGTCTCGCCGAGAAATAAGCCGTGGGCCCGAAAGACTGTCCTTTTCCCGAACCCTTTGTTCCGAGAAAATAAAAATATTCCCGTTATCAAAACTCAAACTCCACACAAGTTTCAATCGGCAAACACACTCAAGGGAAGAAAATACGAGGAGAAGGTGATAATGGAAATCGAGAAGAGTCGAAATACGGCACACAAGTTGTTGATGATGCAAGGGAAAATCAAAAGCCCGGTAATGGATGTTTCGGCTAATTATTCCTCGAGAAGAATGACGGGCAAAAAATTGTCGAGGAGATCATTTTCACCGTCGAGGCTTGTGAATAGGATTGTGCATTCGCCTTTGAAATTCAGAAGCTCTATGTGCAAAAGAATGGAGGGTGTGTGAAAAAATGAGGAAAATAATATTTACTTGAAGGATAATTGGTTTTGTTTTGGGTTTGTGGATAATTTTTATTTTTATTTTTTTATTCATTATTCACCTCTGTGAATCCTGTTATATACCTTGAGTTAGTGATGCTCTTTTCTGATGCTCTTTTTTCTGTGTCCATGCCTTAATAAAAGGAAAGAACAAAAAGAACTATTTGGTGTAAATGGTAAGGATTATTGATTGGTTGATTATTGTTCTTCGTTTCCTGGGTTATTGTGATTGTATAAATCATCCGGTCTTAGTAGAAAGGTTTCTGATTGTGCATACTGTAAGATACGTCTGAGGTCCAAAAAATTGGAATGTTTTTCTAAAATCATCCTACAAGTTTCCAAGTACAACTGAAAACTGAAAATTGGCTATCAATCAAAAAAGTGGGGCTTAAATTGAGTTGTCTCTATGTTTTTCTATGAAAATTGATAAGAGTTTTGTTCTCTACGGGCCCCGGCGTTCAGTTCGATCAATCATTTCGACAACCTGGCTAAGTCGTTCCAACTACTTTATCAACACATATATTCAAACAACAGAGCTAATTTCTAAATTCCTTTATGTTCCAACTCATCAAGATACCATGTTATTACCAAAAAAACAATATAGAATTTAGAAAACAACCCTAGTCAACAAAGATATTGGTCCTCTCCCAAAATGGCGTCCAAACCAAATTTCACACTCTTTAAATCAACCATAATTCTTATTTATTTTTTTATGTTTCAGTCTACTGTTTATGACCATTTCAGTCGACTGTTTCAGTCTTTAAACACATACTGTTTATGACCATTTATATGATCATTTCTATAACCATTTCAAATATTGTATATATTCAATTATGCAATTGTATCGATGTCTATTATTTGTCGGGTTTTACTGTAATCTGACTTAGTTTGTCTCGTGAAGAGCAATTTGTCGGGTTTTACTATAATTTGTAGTTTACTTTGTTACTATATCACATTTTGAGTAATGTCTTGTATCAGTTCTGCATCTACTCGGGCAACCAAAGCTTCCTCAAACCTGTGAAAATGTGTACCAAAGACCACAATTTGACTTAAAAGTCCCCATATGAAGGTTTTGAACCTTCCTAACAAACAAAGATTAAGACAAAGCTTTATCATTTATATCTAATAATAATGCATCCAACGATCTTGTTATACCTGCAATGACATTTTAGTAAGAGGGATCGATTATCAATCTAATAGCCTCATCATTATTTTCTGGAAATTAATTGTTCATCACTTTCAGTTGCCCAGTATATATCACAACAAAGCATTCTTTCTTGTACATATTGTCCAAGGGGACCAAGCCCAAGTCAATTCAGACAAACATCGAATGTATAAGAATCCAAATGGAAAATACAACATGCCACATATATCCAACAACAGAAAAACATCCCTTGATGAAACTTAAATAACATATGAGTATATATATGTGTGTATATGTATATTTAATCATAGTCTGCGAGCGTAACCCAACACCATCACAAAATCCTTAGCAGACGAGCCAACTGTTGCCGAGACTCTCTTCCCATCAGTTGTTTGAAGCCAAAGATCCATTAAGTTGTTTAGGGTCAACGTGGGGTTTACCGTTTGTCCCATGTATTTGATGTCAACCTACAATTCGAACTAAGAATGTTACAAAATCTCATTGCTGCAAAAAAAATACAACTTCTAGCAAAGGTAAGTATTCAATATGGGTCGAGGAGATGCAATTATCTTCCAAGTTTTCAATATTGTCAAAGAAAATTATTTTACAGATTTGTGCCACTGAGATTGGCTCGGAGAACAAATATTCAGTGAAATGTGATTCAGTTAGATTAAGTGGATCAACACACATGAGCTGGGGTAAAGAGTTCATTAAGCGATCGGCATTAGGTTACCTCAAGTTCACTAGTAAGATTCAACTTCTTCTGGAGATACTTTTGAATAAAAGAAACCGGCATACTCCCATCCCTGTAAAAAAAAATAAAAAAATTAAGAGTTATATATAAAAGGACACTTCGGCATCACATGATCCATGCTAGAAACATTCATGTGAACTATAAATTGAATACAAAAGCAAGATAAAACTAAATGGAGGACATACAGTTCTTTCGCCAACAATGAAAATATAGGGCAGGACCACACGGGCAATTTGGACAAAACTTTTTTACACAATTACCATGCAGAAAACTCTTTCATGCTATATATTGTTAATTCATCATAAACCGCAACAAGCAATATCAGAGGGTCTAAAAATGAAGTAGTTCAGAACTCCGTTTTTTCCTGGAGTCGAAAGGACCACTTTTCATCATAGAACTGAAAAAAACCAAACTTTTCCTAAGAGATGGATGAAGAAAGAAATAAAACAACTGACATGTCAGCTAAGTAGTAATCCACAATCAACTTATATCACCAACTCATCTTGAACATGCAATGCGTGGCTTCCAGCACAGTAACACAATGTCCCAAGGATAAGATAACTTTTCTGCCTTCAAACTGTAACTGGTGAGAAATAGGTGGACGAAAATGGCTATGCAGACTTCTAACCAGGTAAACAAACAGAAGAATAGAAGATGCTATAAAATTTCCAGCAGAAAAAGTAATAATCACAGCACTGGGGCAAACATGATTGAGTACCACGAATAATATAGCTATTGACCTTCATGAGGATTGAGGAATATGGCACTATGCAGTCTACATTCGTGTAAGTTGCCAGACTGCCATAACCAAACCAATGCACAGAAGTTGACAAACACTGAAATGCTCCCACATATGCATGCAAAGTTATTTAATGGATCTAGAAAATTTTGTACCCATCCAGAGCAACTAGATCATAGTATTATCAAAAACGGGTGAGGAAACACATCAGCACATATCATACTAGAATAAAGAATGCCATAAGAGTAATATTAGTAAGCATCATTGATCTTGTTTTCCAACAACTGAATATATGATGCCATCAAAGACTAAACCAGATGTTTCTACAGTTAATACAAAAGCAAAAACACCCGGAAAGGCCAAAATGTATCCTTTCAAACCAAAATATCCACCATTTAATGGCTAGAATGACAGAAGGTAATGAAAACTAACTTTATTCTCAAGTAACTTGCAGAAATCTGGGGCAGAGGTGGTACATTTCCTTCCCTGAAAATATATTACATTAGATTAACAATTGCAATGAGCTAAAGCAACGTGCATAACCATATTTATTCCCAAAAGGGTTGAAATAATCTACTTACAGCTCATCAGACGCCACTAAGGAGAACCAAATCGGGTAACTTTTTCTTTCAGGTTTATCACTTGCAGCATCTAGCACAACCTTGTTTGGTACCTTGAATTTTCCAGACTCTCGCGCTTTCTGACTGTTTTTGCGCAAATTTTTAGGTCTTTCAGATTCCATAGGGGTATTGTCAATGCTATTCTTCTCGTCCTTAACTTCTGACTTCATATGTTGTTCCTTATTTTTGCTCGTCCCTATAGGACCCTCATTGTCATGAGAATGTTGGTCCTCAGATTTAAGAAGAGAAACTTGTGTGCTCAACTTAGAAGATTTGCTCCGGTTTGCTGCTTCTACCAAACAAGTCAGAGGTTTCCAGGGATCAATTTTTCCATCCCAAGGTTCAGAATGAATTCCCTTTCCCTTATTGCAACTAGGATCATTAGATGGCCCGTTTGAAGCAGAGCTCTGTAAGAAAAATGTTGGTCAGCACGAGTAACGTATTAGTAACATAGGGTTACTCACTCTTGAGTTTTAGTCTAACAGCTAAAAGATACATTTTAATCTTCAATTTTACAAATACCCTGTTGACATTTATTTAGATTTTGCAAAAATGGTCCTGAAAGGAGGGTCTTTATTAGGTAGACACAAAATCTCAATGGTGCGTTTGAAGTTGTTGAATTTTTCATTTTTATGTTACAGTTTGTTACATGTGTACAAAGCTATGGACAACATAAAAGAGTAAAGTAGTGACCTTTTTCATACGATTTAGTGATTCAAATACGCCATACCTGCCTAATATGTTGAGTTAATTTGTTCAACATCTCTGGTGAGCTAGAACTCTCAGGAGTATCATTAACAGTATTCTTAACAGATTTTTCTGTGGTGAATTTTGAGCCCTTGGATACTTTTCTTGCAATGGGTTTTGATCTCCTTCCAGTCATTCTAGTGTGTGTTGATGATACTCTTGGGGTGCTAACAACTAATGATGAGAGGGACCTTTCCTTTCTCTTTGCAGGCAAAGCCACAGTATTCACGACTTCAGGGGAGTTCACCATTATCCTCTTATAAGAAAATAATTTCACCCCTATATCACGCAATTTGCGATCCGCCCTGGGAGAATAATTAAAGTCTAAGATAAATAATTTTCTTGCACCAAAATTTATATGCATTAGTTATCTAGTAGTGTACATGTAACAGAAGAGGAATAAGAGGTTACCAAAGAGAGAAAGAGAACATGCTAGACTTTGCTTGATATTTAACCAAAAANAAAAAAAAAAAAAAAAAAAAAAAAATCTATAAGTTACAATAGAAAAATATTTGCAGGATTATACACCAATATGCATCTTTTGATATTATGTCTGTAAGTTTTGTCTGTAAGTTTTTGAGTGTATATTTTGATGTGGATTGTTATTTTAGAAAAGCATGCTTAAACCATTATTTTTCTTCATTTCATGAACACATTATATAATATCAATCAATTTAGAAAAGGACAAGAAAGACTACATAATTTTAAGCATATCATGTAATCTTGTGCAAGTTTCTGATCTAGTACGCTTTAAGTCAAAAAGGAAACAACTTTACCCAGTTAGAGAACAAAAGAAACTAACAGATCTGACCTCAATTTCTCCAATGGAACACATCCCAGGTCAGCATCACATATTGGGCAGCACTCCATTTCTTCGTCTGAGAGCTTCTTATATATGCATTTCTTACAAACTGAACAATATTCATAGAACATGATATCCGATACTCAAAGACATCATATTTATAATCAAAAGGAAATTGATCAAATCAGATTACAAAAACAAAAAATCTGAATGTGATGAAAAGACCAGTTTAGTTATTTGACCACAGTAGTCCAATCATAACTACAACACCGAATGATGGAAAGGGCCGTAACTACGCAAAAAGTATTGGGATACTTTCGACAACAAATTGCTGAACTAACAAATGCTGAAAATATTATATCAACAAAAACACCTTCACATCAGCAACCTAAGCATGTACATAATCATAATGTTCATGCAGAATATTAACATTCGTAGTATATCAACGAAGCACCAAATTCTTTAGATTACTTCGTCATGTTCTGAAACAAGAAGTCTAGCTTTACTGCTTTGTCCCCATTTTCCAGCCAAGACCAGTGTTGGTCAGTTAAACGAAACTTCTTATAGCAGTCTACTAAAAAAAAATTCAATTTACGATGTAAATAAAACAAACAAACACAGAGATCAACTCATTTCTTCCAGTCAATCATTTGATATTCTCTTTACAAAATAATATAACCACACATACAGCAAAAGGACAATACCTCATTTAGCAAATTTATCACGTCCCACTTATCAATCCAGCTCACATGAGCACCTCCACAAACTTACAAACTCCAACCAAAAAACTAAGTCAAGCCCACACAACCCACTATACAAACAAATCGAACAAATCAACTCTAACAACTCAAATTCACAAATAAGACCATGAACACACACAAAGACACAGACACAGATACAAAATCACGAACATTTAAATCAGCAAAACAACANCAAATAATCTCAAGCGAATTACTAATACAATCAGGAATCCAGCTCAATCATATAAAATTCAAGGAAAAAGAAAGGAACCCACAAGTATGAAGACATTCGATGATAGTGGTGGCGTTGCGAAAGAGCTTGTGGCAGAGGGGGCAGGTCATGCATGGCGCCACCGTCTCCCATCTGATCTTCACCGGCTGACGCGCCACCATATCGGCTAACTTCACCTAAATCAGAAGGAAAAAAATATCTCACGCTCAAATCCACGTATCTCACGCGGTGCATGCTAGCGCCAGCACACAAGGGATCGAATTTACGTCCATTCGCTTCGTGGTCCGGTGCGCCTGCATTAAAACAAGCAAACCAAACCCAAAATTAATAATCACAGAGGATTACAGCCCGAGACCTCGGCGAGAAGAAATCATGGAGTGAAGAGCGGGGTAAAGGGATTGCAGAGCGTTTCGAGGGAGATTAATGGCTCGAGGACCTGTAAATCTGAGGAAATGGATGGGAAAGAGGTGATTTGGGGCTGAGGGGGACGTGGGCTTTGATGTTCAACGGCGGTGGCGGCGGTGGCTGGTGGAGATCTGTAAGTGCGTGTGCGAGTGCGTGACTGTGTGTTTGTTGGGGGAGAAGAAGAAGAAGAGAGGAGAGAGAAAGGCTTTGGATGGAGGTAATAATCAGCATGACCGGCGCCTTTTATACAGTGAAAATAGTCTTTTTCACCGTGAAAAATGTATTAAGTTGTTTTTACTATATGTATCCCTGCAGTGAAAAAGATTAAATATATTTGTCCAATGTCTTTAATGTATGACCTTTTTTTTAATTCCTTTCTTTTTTATTTTTCTTTAAATGGTGTGGATGTTTGAGGACGTGCTCGGATACAAATATATCTGTTCAAATGAGTTTTTTTTTTTTTTAACTATGATTAATTTTAAAAATGTAGTATGATTAGTTGTTAGAGGAGTTTTGAGTTTATATTACTATAATATTTAAAATAAAATAATTAAAATTGATTTGTTATGAAAGTATGAGATATATGATGTGAAATTATTGTTAGTTAAAATTATGTGAGTGGATGAATATCAAATTGAAGTTGATGTGATGTGTAAGAGTGATTGATTGATATTACTTAATTATATGGATAATAATGAGATTGGGTTAAAGTTAAGTAAGATTTTGAGTATGGATTGATAAATTTATAAACACACTCTAGTGGTGTTGGTAATATTTTCCTTCCACTTTTATTTTATCTTTTTTTGTGTATACAAACTAAATTAATTTAATAAATATTTAATTATTTTTTTAGTAATTACAAGTATCAAATCTATTAAAGTAACTTTAATTGGAAGCATCAAATTATATTCATATTGGACGATCTTGTTCATTCCATTTTGAATATATAAATACTACTATTTGATATAGATATGTATAATCGAAATTTTATAAAGTTGCCTTTTTCATTATTTGTTTTAGTAATTCGATTTGGATCCTATAAGTTTAAACAAAATAAGTTCATAGATATATCATATATTAAGATGGATTTGTGAACACATTATTACAAGAATCATATACTAAGATGGATTGTAAACATAAATTGACATTTTTATAAGAATCATACTACATTAATAGAATGGTTAATATAAATTTGATATAATACATATGTGTCAATATGGCAAGATAATTTGATTTTATACATGACATCAACGTTAAAATCAACAATTCATATACTTACACATCATTGTGTAACAAAAAAAAATGTGTCAAATTAGTGTCTATGTATTCTTATTATACATTATCAGTTTTGTTGTATACTCGGATAACAAGAGTTATATGAAATTATGCACAATTATTCACAAAATTAATGGTGTATGAACATCAGGTGGAACATCAATTTTGCTACGAGGTCATCGAAATTATGAAAACATCAACAATTATTCACAAATTGATGTAGCGAAAACGAAAGGGATAAAACAAGAAAAATATTTTTAAATTATCTTTATTAATCAAATTCAACCGATTGAACACAAAATAATAGGAGTATTTAAATATAACTCATTAAAAAACCCTAATCCTGTCTAACAAGTAAAAGATAATTAAATATCTTTCATACCAAATAAAAAATTAGAATAATTAAATAATTTTACTAATAAATGTAGGATTAAAATACTAACAAGAAAAGAATAAATAATTAGATTATAGATCCCAAAAACAAAATCATGTTTGTCTACATCTCCATCACACACGGTGTACTGACATGTGTCCTACAATAAATATATTTAGACATGTGTCAGTGCATCAAGTTATGGGTGACTTCATAAGAAAGTCCTTCGCTGGCTCCATAAAATTTATTTGTGGAACATATATCAATACATCAATTCATAAACCACTTGGAAGCTCCATAAAATTTCAGTATAAATCATTATTAAATCCAACTCAACTAGTGATGAGATAGGGTAATTTATAGAATAAAAATAAATAAATATTAAATAAAATTGAGAACCCATCAGATTAGGTTTTTTTTTTTTCAATAACTAATCAGATTACAAACATAAGATTGTCAGAACTAACCAGATTACAAATTTAGATAATTGAACCACAGAAATAATAAACATACAATCAAGAACCAACAAGACCCTTGTGCCGAGCGTAAGAAATTATCCACAGAAAAATAGATGCAGAAGCCAGAGTTGTAAGCAAGATTACCTAAGACAAAATTATACAACAAAATTGCATTATTAGCCCAAAT